GCGCAAGTAAGCGGGGATGCAATTTCTTTACACAACAGGTTCGTAAAGGTTTCGAAGTCAAACAGTCAAAAAAATATATTGTACGGGGACACTAACCATGCCGACCGCCGCTTTATGAACAGGAGAAATCGAGAGATCCGCTGCTCTGATTTCCCAAACCTAAATAAAATATAAACAGCACTTTTAAGGGCTAAACATTTAGACTGTTTACAGTCCTCCATTAGTGCGACAGATCGCCAGGATCGTGTGATTACCGGTACCGAGCGGGCGGGGGTCGCGGTTTATGGCGGTGGGGGGAGAGAGGCGAGAAAAATCTCGCGTCCTCCCAAACCGTCTTCCGCCCCCCGCCCCCTAAGTACATTTGACAATCATCCCCAGGCTAGACTCGGAACATTTGAGACCATGATGGCCACCCATAACGCAAAGCGCTCGATCTCCACGATCTTACGGAAGTATAAGGGACTGTGAACAGTCTACTAAACATTTGACAATATTGAGTTCAAGTCCCATCCTGACCACTGTTTTTTTTTCTTTTTAGTCCCGTGTTCAACTCTTCGGTCATGCTTGTAAGGTGTCATGGTGAGACAGATAACTCAGATGTCCGACGTACAGCAAGTACACAGTCTGAAGCAAAAATTTTGCAGGAAAAGAACCTCTGAAAAAATAGGCTGAGATCTAGAGGGCATGAAAAGACATACTACGCACTGTGACATTTATTAGTTGCTGATGGACGATCTGGGATAATGGGGTCAGGCTCGCAGTCACCTTTTTCTAGGTTGTGGACACCTCGCTTTGACGGAACACCCGTCATTACAGCTTCGACGTACTAGGAAGAACACTTCCATTGAAAATATCATTTGATTATCTTGTGGGCCTACATAAGGAAACCAGGAGCCCAGGGTTATGGGCTCCTGACGAAACCAATTTCTGGAAAGGGTGTGAAATCGAGCAAAAGGGTAGGTTAGCCGGATAGGTCACCTGTACTGCGTCGAACCAGTGATCAGGCTCAAGGCTGTCATCATAGCGATAGTATGCCTTCGGTTGTGATATCACGTGATCTTTGAAAAACTGGTAATGCTTGTCAAGTAGCTCGTCTGTAAAACCAGTTCCAATCTGAGGAAGAGAGGGAAGTTAAAACTTAATTAAAGGTTAATGATTGCCAGAGTTAAAAACCAAATTAGTAGACTGTTCACAGTCTCCTATTTTTCCGTAAAATCGTCGCGATAGATTGCTTGACTCTGCGTTTGAACCCCGACGCCCGCCCCCACGCTACAGAAGAAACCAAGATGGCCGCCCGTACCGGTAAGCGTTCGATCCTGACGATCTTACGAAACAAGAGGGGAATGTGAACAGTCTACCAGACTAAAGTGATATGTGTCTGAATAATTATGGAAGAGTATGATTTGTGAAATAAATTTGCTGATAACAAAATGTTGCTGCTTTTGTTCAAAAAATGTTGAACAATGCTTCATGTTCTGAAACTGCCATGTTGAAAAGTGAAATGGTGGGCCATTCAATTGACCTTTGCTCAGTGTGAAGAGAGTCAAGAGAGAAGAGTTCTGTTCCGTTTAACAAATTCCAAGAAACTCGCCGTTTGTTGAGCAATAAAAAAAGTTGCCGAAAAAGCGGGAAAAAGGAAAGGGTGTAAAAGGCGGGAAAACACAAAACCAGTGTACTGCAAAGCGCGGGAGACTGTCCGGGAGACTTGCAACAGAGTTAGCGCGGGAAAATTCCTCAAATGGCAAATATCACAGCAGTCAGAAAGACAAACAAACAATCTGTATTTGCCGCTTGACAATAATCAGGGGCACCCAAAGACTTTTGTAAAATAACTGTTCGAAGAAGAAAATATTGTCTACAAATTTCTAGAGTTCAAAAAGGCTTAAAATTTGTGAACAACAGTTCCGTCTAAGGTATTGGAGTTTTTCTACTAACTTACCGACGATTTTCGGGGGATTTTCAGGAGAATCTTCTAATGAAAGTACGACTAACTCCATGTCCTCGAACTTTCAACCGGAGCCATGCTAACAGTTTCGGACGAGATGAAAACGTCACCTAAAATTTTCGGGACGACCAAAGTTCCCCTAGGACTTCTGAACAGGTCAATAGCTTTGAGGGCAACTACAAATTAACTAAACAGGTTTCTAAATCATAGCGAAAGCCATTTTAGACACTTATGACGTATTTAATGGAAACATTTGACCGTTGGGTGTCCCTGAACAATGGCCGTGAACATAAACAAGGAAAGCAAACCTTTTGTTAAAGAAAAAAATATTCTAAGTTACCTTGCAGATGGTCTGAAACTCTTCATTTTCCGGATCATAGCAGGCCAGCAGATATCCGCCATATGAACCAGTGCGCTTGCCTTTTCCCAAGTAACCGCCAATCACCACTACATCCAGTGTATCTCCTACACCAGTCAAATAATCTTTTTTCAACTGTAGTGGTTGGAAAAAGACATGGAATTATAAAATGGAAGAAACTGCAGACGGCTAAAGCTTTTCTTGATTGTGTGTCATGCTACTGTGGGAACTAAAAAGGAATTAAATGTGTGGGAACCAATTCTAAATATCGATAAGGAAGACCTTTGCGCTTATTGCATCTTAAGTTAAGGCTTCCATGCGTACAGATGTTTGCCTTTAACCTATCTACATGAAGCAAAGTTTTCTGTTGCAACGCTCGACAAAAAATTTGCGTGACGTAGAGAAAGACGTTTAGGTTTAGCCTGCGTCCAAGGTCTCTAAGGTCCAAGGTCAGAAAGGCCTCAGCTTGGATAGCTTGCAACAAATTAAACGAGAAAAGTGAGGACCTCAAGACTGCTGTGAGAAACAAAGATCAGACGGTTTCGAGCAACTGTGGAGTCTGTCGCACTCTATGGAAGTGAAACGTGGACCCTGACCAAGAAGCTGGAGGAAAGTGTCAATGGATGCTACACCAGAATGCTGCGAACGGCCCTAATTGTGCACTGGCAATAACCTATAAACAACCAGGAACAATACGGGAGCCTCCCAAGTGAAGAGTCAGTGAAAAATGCGGGAAGATTAAGAATAGCTGGCCACTGTGCTTGTCACAATGAAGAGACTGCTTCAAAAGTGCTGCTTTGGGAACCTCAACATAGTCACTCAAATCGAGGTGGACCCAAACGAACTTAGGACGTGTTGAACCGATTAACATGATCAACTGAATCAGATCAGTAATAAACTGAGGCTTAATATACATTATCATACAAATTTTTAATTTATTAGTTTGGTCCGTCGCATGTGAAAATCGACGTTTGTCCCAGAGATTATCTTCAGACGTTCTATCCGTCTGAAGCAGAATGATAGAACGTGTTGGACGATCCCAACTCATTCAGACGAAGTTAACTGAGCCAGACGTCGAACTTTTCATGAAGTTAACTCACTAAGTTTGGTTCGTCTCAAGAAATGTTCGACGTTTGGCCTAGGCCTAAGGTCTCCAATGCTCGCAGTCTAAAACAGGCTTTGATTCAAACCCTTAAACTAACTTTGCCCGGTGTAATACACACAAATTAATTCACTGGCTAAGCGAGATTCAAAGCTTTTTACCTTCAACCAGTTGTGAGAGCGTTTGGCAATTTCATATGTGGCGTCCACCTCAAGGGTTTTAACCATTAGGCCTTCACAATTACCTGACAATATAAACTCATTTAGAAAAAAAGGGCATACACATAAGAACTTGTCAAGGACCATGTCAGTTTTCAATGTCCCCTTGCATGAAAGTAGCCTTTGAATGATATGACAGTATGATATGAAGGTAGCAAAGTCAACAGAACGTTGTTAAAACATTCGTCAAAACTGCATAGAGCAAGCAAACAGGCTTTAAACGATATGCATAAGTCCTTCATTCTGCTGCCACACATACATCCTACTTTAGCAACAAATTAATTAAAGTAGGATGTGCGAATTAATGATATGCCCAAAAAACACACCAAAACTGAGAGCTATAGTGTAGCCTACAAGAATGTTCTTACCCTTGATGGAATCATCTAAAAATTCGCCAATATCATCAGTGTTTACTGAATCGGAACTCTGTGCAAACATGAATTCCTGTTATAGGGAAGAACGGGAAGAGGATGTAAAAGACAAGATCATTTGTAACAAACTTTTCAACTCATCAGCAATAGACGAGCTTGGGGAAGGCGCCTGGAAAGATGGTGGATCCACAAGCACTAGCACTCTGCATGCCCGTGACGGGGGAGGCCGATGATCAGAATTGTTTCGCGTTTAGCTTAGCTTAATTTTCATTTAACCACATAATATAAATCATCAATTACGCCATCAAAACACGACAAGGCAACGAGAAATAATTATTATGTATATTACCTACCCCTTCAACTTCTGTGAATGAGGATCGTAATGCCTCTCTGCGAACACGAAATGGTTCTTTAATATACGACTGAAAAAGACAAAGTGAAGTTGAGTGTCATAAGACGTCTACAATGAAAGCTCTCGTAAGCAGACACCCTCGGGACGCAAAAAAGGTGTCCGTAACTGGAACTGGCCGCTTACAGGAATGTAAAAACATAGAGTTTGTATGGGAGTTGAGAAAAACGGGGTTTTGTGAAGGCGGCCGTAAGTAAGACGTCAGCTTCCGAGAGTGTCTGTTAGGAGAGCTTCCGCTGTATTCGAACACAAGCTTAGTTTTCCAGTGTATAGCACAGTCTTGGTATGTTCGCTCACATCTAGCAGATCTAGCTGAGTAAAATCTCCTCTCCCTTAGTCCCTTAGGAAGGCCTGATACCCAGGCTATTGCAGATCCCAGAAGACGGAACACCAAAGGCGGAGTGATTTATAGTTTTTCAAGCCAGCAGAATAAATCACAGCCATATTCAACCGACATTTTAGCACACAAAACTTAGCAGTTGGAAAACTTCGATTAACTTTTGCCAGTTGCAGTCGATTTTTATTTTGGTCAGCTACAGTCATAGAGAATTTTGGTAATTTCATGAAAACAAAACAAAACAAAGGAACATTGCTTTACATTTACAATTCATCAAGAGCGATTGAGAGAAATGAAGAGAGAATGAGAATGCTCTCTTGCATTAAAATATCCTTTCGGCTTTTAAGTTGTATTATCAAAGAAGTTAAACTACGGGAGAACGTTAGTCACGAAGTGCCAAGGCCTCTTTCCTACCTTTCCATTCAGATACAGCAAATCGAAAGCGTAGACACAAACTTGAACTTTAATCTCTGACGCATCAGCATCCTAAAGAAACATAGAAAAAAAGAGAGAGCTACATTCATTTGTCGCTCCAAAACGCCAAAACCTAGCAGTAGCTTCCACCAGATTCCAAATTGAACAAGGACAATACTTATACAAATAGAATACTACACTGTACAAGATCTTTATCAACGAAACAATAGCGCATTGTTCAGTTTCATGAAAGTGTTAATTTTTATGAATAAGACTCTGAGTGGTCGGTTACGAGAGCTTAAAAACCGAGGAAAATTCCAGTTGGGTAATCCCTAGCCTCACACGCAGGCGTTTTTAGGGGAGCTCGTTTTTCATCCCTCCCCACAAAGGAGCGGGGAATGAAAAACGAGCTCCCCTAAAAACGCCTGCGTGGGAGGCTAGGTAATCCCAAAAGTGGTCGTGGTTGCTTATGAGAGCAGAGTCTGAAATGTCACACGTCTCCGCCCCGCGTGAGGGGGTGGCGACGTATGACATTTCAGTCCAATGAGAGCTTTTCACTGCAAAGTTTGCTAAGAAAACATTTCTTTTCTTGAGGGTCTCCGCATTGGACTCGACTTTAAGCTACAATTGTAGCTCCAGCCAAGAGCTCATAATACAATCTCTTGCTCCGGCTTATTACAGAGAAGTTAGCCAGCTCTACGAGATATACTGACAAGAAAAAAATGTAAATAATCAATATATACGGTAGCGTTACCTTTCGTTTTCGTGTGCTGAGAATCTGGAAAGGTAAGATTTGCTTCTTTTCTCTGTCCCATGCCACAGCTTCAGTATCAATAATACAGGACTTGACACTATCACCTAAAACCTGAATGTAAAAACAAACAAAACGTTAACGTAACACATAAATGATCAAACGCGCTTTACATTCTCTACATGTAATAAACGTAAAAAGGTGTTCTGGACTCGTTGTATCTTACAAATCTGACATTTGGGCAGCCCATAAGGTAAACTGTTTTCACATATGAATGTTCTCGTATGTGGCAGTTTGAAGACTTGTGTTTACCTAAACATACTAACTTTTGTCAACATGTATCAAAGGACTTGAGCTCCGATGAGAACTAGTAACTGTACCAGCTTCTAGTAAATCGCCATCTTGGTGTGCTTCGACTCGTGCACAAGCATTGTGGGAAGTAAGTCTAACAAAGGATTGTGCCTTACAGAAGAAGACCGCTTGGCCTGACATTGCCACTGTTTTCAGTATTCCCCACATGCTCTCAGCGCAATGATTTTGGGGATTGTTTGGGTGGACAAACGTTACTTATGATTGGTTAATGGTTGCCTTGAATACCATCGACCAATCATTGCTAAAGCTTGTCCACCCAAACGATCCCAGAAATCCTTGCGCCAAAAAAGCTGGAACCCATTTCCCTTTTAGTTTCCTGACAACTTTGACCACCAGGAGTCTGGCTTCTTCATAGGGGTTCGTTTATATACTACACGTATTTACCTTGGGCATCCTCGCAATGATATCGGGATACTTAGACGTGTTGTTTTCTTGGTTTCTGCTGTAAATGTGGATATCTCCATTTTCTAGTACATGAATCTAAAAAAAGAAATAACAGATAATTTGTTCGTTCGTTTTGCTCCCCTATCTTGGTCATATTTTACAGGGCTTTCAACCAGTAATCTCTATTTTACATGGCTGGTCATACGTAAATTCAATAACGAAGATGTTGAGGAGGAGGAGGAGGAGGGATGATGATGATGATGATGGGGAGGAGGAGGAGGAGTTGGAGGCTATGAAGGGTGATAATGATTATAACGGATGATGATGAAATGCATAGTGATCATTTCGAGGATCACTGTCATTGAAATGCTGAAGTATATCACCCAAGAAAATCCGAATTTCAAACTGGATGAGATCAATGCAAAAATCTGCTGTCCCACAATTCGTTTACTTTCTCAGAAAGTTACTGGAAATCTCTAGTCTCAAGGCCAAAGAACTTGCAACATAAATTGTCGCAGGTTAAACGACAATTGTGAAAAGCAACAAATACCAATAAGAGTAACAAAACCATGAACTTAGCATGTTTAACCTCACCTGTGCGCGCTCTCCATCGTACTTAAACTCACAGGTAAAGGCTGCATTTTCAAATCGTTTGAACACTTCTTCTACCCCTTTGGAAGGATGGGCTAACATGGGTTTTAGCGGGATACCTTTGGGAAATAAAATTAATATAATTCAATTTGCAAATGACAAGATAGCTTAAAGTAACAAGAAGATTATCTGGGCTCTGCGTGTACCGCACTCACAAGGTCAGCATCTATGCTAATTTATTATAGGAACAACACAAAGGAAAGCGTTTACATAAGAAAAGAGTTCAACTTCCACAGGATATTCTTGGTACACCAACACGGCCGCCATTTTATTTGTTTGGAATATCAATACGGCCGCCGTTTCATTGGTTTGGAACACAAATATGGCCGCCGTGACGTCAGGTGAAAAACGCTATATACCTAAATCTTGACACATTTTTTACCTGGTGTCAGATGACAGTGTTTTGGCAGCGACTCCAATCCATGATCCAGAAGAGATGGAATCAGTCTATCATAGTTAGGCATTTCACTATGAAGGGAAAATAACAATCCTTAAAAGTGAACTGCACCTTTCAACCCTGTACATTGACTGCACAGTAAGAAAATAAAAAATCGGATGAAGCTACCACCAACCCTTTCACTTCTTATAGCAGCCAAAGAAAAAATTCACAAAAAGAAATTTCTGTTTTGCAAAATCCTAAGAAATAAATAGCTGTATGAAACATTTCTCCCAGAGAGGTTTCATTTGAATGGTAACACCATAGAATTTGGAAAACAGATTGAAAAGTTAGAATGACAAAATTTATAATCTCGCTGTAACATTATCTAGGAGATAATGGTTTTAAAATAGCTAAAGCAAAAGGCAATGGTCCTATCATATTGACTCCTTGATCCTGCCGCACCCTCATTTTCATTAACGGACATTATTTTTATCTCCTGGCGTTTCATGGAAAAGAAGACAAAAAGCGACTGTTTGCATTAGCAATCTAATGCATCTGTATGATTAGAGTCTGAAAACTATCATTGTAGTAAATTGAGTCAATAAATGTCTAGCATATTATAATTACGAGCATCAGTCTGGTATACATATTTTTCTAGAAACTGTCTGTTATGATTGGACAGGACTTACCAGTGACAGGTCTTAACTATCATGGCAGCCTCATCTAATTTCTTCTTTAACTCATCTCCAGAAAAATGCTTGGCATTGTCAATTATGGAAGGAGGAAACTCTGGAAAAAGGAAACAAGACCCAGGGCTAGCTGTTACTAAGGGAAAGTGGCCATGATCATAGAGAACAGAATACACTAGCCTGATTGCAAAATCCACTAGCCACAGGCTACCCAATACAACTTTCTTTGCACATTGATGATCACGAGGTTAATCATGATCACAACGTTCATGATGGGAACTAAAGAAAATCTCATTAATTAATAGGTCGTTGTTACCTTTGCTTGGTGGAGTGAGTAAGACGGCATGGCCCAATGCTGTGAGAACTGACTGTTCAGCAAGACCAATCCGCAACTTGCCACCAAGAGATCTTCAAATTGAAAAAAAGAATTTGCTAAGGGCATAATAATTTCCAGTGGGCAGAAGAGCATAGGTATGACAGTGGTCAGATTTTTCTGTTTTACACTCCCTAATAACCAAGTTCAAAGAAAAGTAGTACGGGTAATCATACACTTTTGATTTCAATTTGGAATATATCATATATTTTCATGTTTTTGTACTGTGTTTACTAAAAACTGCATAGCTGTCAGCCAATCAAATTCAAGAAATTTTCTCATGTACATTGGCTGCGGCTGCACTTGGCAAGTTAACGAGGTTAGTTTTTGAAAAACCTGGTAAAAAATTCTTCAGAACATAACCTGGTTAAAAGAGTTTAACCAGGTTAATTTTTATCAGCAGCCGGACTCAATTTAGACTTTCACAAAGTCATTCAAAGTCACTCGCCTAAGAGTGACAGAAAAAAATTGACCCTACATTACAGATAAAAAGAGGTCGACTTCTTAAAAGTCTTAACTCAAATGTGTGAAGAAAGAAAAGTTGAACTTGGAGCAAAAGAAGTAATTACGAAACTGTTGTGCTTGCGTGCATGGTAAAGCCAAAATTTGGACCATTCTAAAACAAAGGCGAGATGATCGACTGATTGATAAGGTTAACCTGCATTAAACTACCTCACGAGGCCATTTAAAACCCCAACCTGGTTAAGAAAAATAATCTATTGTTCTTGCTTGATTTGCATAACCCGGTTAAAACTCAGTTAAGACTGTAGAAAACCTGGCCGCACTCGCAGTTTTTTTAAATGAGTTAACGTTAATTAGTTAATTGAAAACAACTCAGTTAAGTCCTCAAAAGCGGCTGCTGCCACTATTGTACATGTCTTAGAAGTAATCAATTACCGACTTTTTCAAAAATCATGTCTGCCAACTCATCATGACCGTGTATGCATAACTAACCTTTTGAGCTGGCAGACATGATTACAAGTGGAATCAAGTCACAATGGACAACTTCAGCAGCATTTTCAATACACAGTACATCTCTAAGTATTGTCAAAATATAATAATATTCAGATGATCTTCTATGGCTTATAACACAGATCTCTATCTCCTCAAAAATATCTTGCAAAGCAATGTAGTTAAAGTTTTTACCTGATCAAATATCTGGCCTCTGCATCACGACAAGCCACAAACATTCCTTTTATCTTTTCTGTCTTTCTTGTCATTGACTGTAAAAAAACGAATAAGAAGAAAAAAGACGATCAGGATAAAATTGAAGAGGATCCTGAGACCCAGCTAAATGTTAATCTACTTTGATTTTTTTCACCTTTCAAGATAAGCTATTGAAGCCACAGTGTTACAAAAAGCAGTTTCAAACATCAAAAATCTGCTGTCATTAAATTCACTTGAAATGCAGTCCCTACAAACAAACTTGTTACTCCTCCTCTTGGGGTCCCCAGCTGGTTTCCCTGTGATTTAGAGCATGCGCATAAGGTGGCCTTAAAATCGACATGCATGAGGCCACCCTATTAAAATGTCAAGTTTTTCTTTATCTGTTTTGCTATGGCTTTTCTTGGAATTAATCCTTTCCATTTGCTGGAAATCTAAGTTCTATATGAGACTGTAACATTCTACAGCACTTGTGAGTCTAAGTTTCAGAACCCCTTTATTATTAAGGATTTGTTATTAAAGTTGTTCCTTTTATCTGGTATGTCATGGTGTGCTGCTATTTGCCACAAACAAAACTTCATGTGTGTTTTTATAAATCTATAGAGTACATGCTGTACTTACACTATGTCCAGTCATCATTGCTATGTCCTTTAGTTTTGTAAATACACCTTCAGCAGTGAGCTTGGGTGGGGCAAACATGGTTCGCTGCTTTCCACGGCATGACTAACATGAAATAAGTTTTAACAGTAATTGTCACAATAAGCATAAGTAAATGAAAAGTGAAGTGAACTAATGTATTATAAAATAACAATGAAATATCAGGGGATTGTGTGCTTTCACGCAAAAACATGAAATGTTTACACAAGAAAATAACATTTATCTTCACACCTGAAAATATCACAGTTGCTATGGCTTAAAAAATAAATGGCACCTTTTGCAGCAAAAAAGTATTTAAGTAAATTGGTTTGGTATTTCATTGGTGTTTATAATATAATATAATAAAATAATAAAACATTACGTGGCCCCTTAGAGACAAGAAATTTCTTTTCAGGTGTTGAAAAATATTATATGCGCAGTCATGTTATATCCTCTACAAAATAACAAATACATAAATGACTTTGATGGTGGCATGTAACCAGGCTAAAGCGTTTCTGCATGCCAGATCTAAGATCAGATCTAATTTTAAAATGTGGGTTTTTTAATGAGAGGGGAACCGGAGTACCAGGACAAAAACCTTCTCAACAGAGGGAGGGTTGAGAAGCAACTACAACCTCAACCCACTTAATAGCATCACCACCAAGATTCAAACCCAAGCCACACCCTTGGGGATGAGTGCTACCCACTGTGATGAATGAAAATAATAATTATTTATTATACTGTACCTCAGCCACTATCCCTAAATCTCCCTTCTCACCAACATCAGACTTAATTTGCTGTAGACTCCTCCCTAGGATGTGATGACAAAAAATTTGATGAGCATGACAACAGTCGACTCATGAGACCCTCTCCCTCCAGCAGTGGACAGACCAAATTCTATGGTGTGACTGTTGTGGCTCAAATTTGTCTTTCATTTGTTTCAGATTATGGTAATTGCACTGAGACAAGGAAATAAAATTATCAAACTATAACCTGCTAGTAATCGCTCAGGAACTCGGGTGAAGAGGTAGGAAAGGAGAATTCTCACCCTCCCCCACTTCCCATCCAACCAAGAGCATGCAGGCAGGCAAATCAATTGCAGTGAAAAATATATCAACCGCTTATTGTGCATAATGGTGTTATTTGTTTTTAAATAATTTAATAATTTTTCTTTCTTAGGTTTGGGCCAAATCTGGAAGTAACTCACAGGGTTGTCACTAAGATTTCAAGTTGACGGGTAAATACAACAAGTAGGCGGGGAATCAAACGGTTGGGGATTTCTTTTGGTTCTATTTTTCTTCTATTTTCCAATAAAAGTAGCCGGGGGCCACCCTATTAGTAGCCGGGGAAAAACCCCGGCCCCCGGCTCTTAATGACAACCCTGAACTCAATTTTTAAACGGTTGGGGATTTCTTTTGGTTCTATTTTTCTTCTATTTTCCAATAAAAGTAGCCGGGGGCCACCCTCTTAGTAGCCGGGGAAAAACCCCGGCCCCCGGCTCTCAATGACAACCCTGAACTCAATTTTTAAAGGGGTTTCAGCAGACCCTCCCCCTGAAATGGATATAGAATATTGTAGAATCATCCACCATGTACCCATCTCAGGGAGATTTCAGCAATGTAGATGGCATGGAAATAAATGAAAGAAATAAGATATTATTTGTTGTGCAAGAGGAGAATTGTGGATGGGTGAATCAAGATCAAAAATTATGGCAAAGGAATATCATACAGGATGAGAGGGGATGTAAAGTATGATGAGGGTGCATCATACATGTCATAACCTAATAACTACAACTACAGAGAGGAGAAGTCGTTATGTCACGTTGCCATGGTAGCAAAATTTTTGGATGACAACAAACCGATAAAGTCACTTATAAAGTGAATTCGCACTATTTCAAATTTTACTGATCTTATTCAATTTCATTTACTCTAGGAAGTCTTGGCGAAATTTTCTTTGGGACCGCATCTATTGTTATCTAAGTTTAGAAAAAGAAAGTGACAATTTTTGTGTTGTGTTCACCTACTCCATAAGGCGGGCTCGTGAAACTAGGAAGTTTCATGTCGTAGTGGTGCAACAACAGCAAAGAAATGTACAAAATAGCATAATGCAAGTGCATAGTTGTAGTTTGTTAATATAAACATATTATTTTTTGCCATTCTCCTTGCCATCACTGTCGTGGTTGGTTTTGTTGTCATCCAGAAATAGTGCTACCATGGTAACGTGACATCACACTTCTCCTCTCTATTAAGCAGCCACCCTATCATAAGTCGTCACTGTACTACACAATACACAATCAACAGTAACAGTCACCTGTTGACTCTGAAACTGCTTTCATTAGCACATTGTCTCCGATACCAAGTTCAATTCCTTCGTAAGCAGGAGCCAGCTAAAATGAAGAGAATAACAAGCACTTAATTAACATGAAACAAATAAGAGATCTGCTCAAAACAATACACAAAAACAAAGAAATACACATAAAAGGGTTAACAACTGACCTTGTTGAGACAGAGATAAACACATGGTAGCAAATCATTTGGTGTCAAAACAATGACCGAACGGAAAAAGTTGCTAAGGATAGAGGTAATCTTCAACCTGCAAGTAATAGAACATCATCTTTTTTTAAATGCAGATTTTCCAGACACCTGTTTTGTAAAGCCTAAGATGCTGATTGATTCATAAGAATTCCAATGTGATTGCAAACTACAATATAAATGATCTACATAAACATGCACATTCTAACAGAGTATTTTTTTGCCCAATTCTTTTAAGTTCAGGGTGATTTTATCAGATTTCTTATATTGTACCATCATTTCAAGCTCTTTAGAGTATCAGACTTCAAGAATAGATATCTTGATGGCTAGGCTCCAAAGACTCTCAAGCTCCAACCAACCAACCTTGTTTGACATGGCAGGTAAAAAAATTATGCAGGTCACAGGTCAGAGGGGCAGGTTGGAGTACAGGTCACTGTATGCTACTGTGAATAAACAACACTAGAAGTGCCTCCTAGCCCTAATCACAATCCGAAAAAGAAATTTTAGCTTTAGAGGAAACTGCCTATCTTTGTTATTTATCAGTAGAGCAGTGACCTGCAATTGTGACCTGTGACCCGTGTTTTGTACCTGCCACCCATAACAGCAAAGCCATAGTCTCCAGTTTGCTCCCTATCCCACCTAACTACCAGTGCTCGACTATTTTGTTCATTTTCTAGTAAAAGAATAAAGTAAATAACTTGTCGTCTACGGTCCTACATGTAAATTAGGAAAGGTGCTTTCATTGAAAACATGAAGTGACAACTTCCATGGTAGGAGCCAGCTTACCTTGCAGATGTGTCTTCTATTGCCTGGAATGTTTTGGCCACTGCTAGGTAGGGTACCCTGAAAGTTAATCACAATGGGGATGTTTTTAGTGGAGCTCTTCTGCACATGAAATGCACACAGCGGAGGGTAAGAAAATTTGGTTATCCGTGCAATCAAGAAATTTTGGTTGTGACAAAAATTTCCATGATACACTTCCCCGAGTAAATAAAATTCCAATAATAAATGATAAATTGAATGGTAGCAAATGATTTGAGACCCGAAGTCACATCATAGGCGGAGTGTATTTTACAATGTTTACAAATGTATATGATGTGAACATCCCAAACCATACCAATTACAACCACACTTTCTGTGAATGTCTTATGTACACTCTTGATGCAAAGTTGTTAATTCAACAAGAAAAAATTAACTTACTTCTCTCCAAATTTCCAGCAAGCATTCTTGATGGGGTGATAGTAGTTCTTCTCTGGGGCATATTCAGTGGCTTTAACTGGGCCAGCACTCTCCTCATCAGATGCTTGATCTGTAGAGCTTTCAGTCAAAGAATGAAAGAGCACAACATCAATTCAATAAACTTTTACATACTTCATGACAAAATTTCCACAACACAACTTGTAGATTATGCCCTCAAACCTTCAGATTACCCCCAGCCACTATGAGCACAACCGCCAGATACTTTTATAGGAAACAAGAGTAAAAGTTCCTAACTGCTCAATTCTCTATCAACTAAAAATTTTATTGAATAAATATATTTATTGCATATACCCGGCAACAAGCAATCTTAGAGAAAGCCCTGCCTATGAATTTGAATTAAGACAAAACATTGCATAACAATGCAGATGACTCTTCTTACCTTAATTTCTTTGTCAGTTGACTCTGTTGGTCACTTTTAGTCTTTTCCTCAGTTTTTCCTCCTGTCACATCTGATTTTTTGGACCTCTTAGGAGCTAGAAGAACAGAATAATATGTTGAACAACTGACAGTTAGGATTAACTCGTTGAGTTTCAGAATAAAATAATAACAGATGTTTTGCTCTATATGTTTATAAATTTGTTCCTCCCCACCAAACAAAACAAAAACAATAACAGAATTTTTAATAAGATTTTTGCAAGCTTAAGAAATACTGCTTGACCTAGTATAATGTATTCTCCATTAGGGTGCCAACAAATTTTCCTCAAAACCATACTTACAAAAAAAATCACTGAATCCTCCAGACGTCTTCTTTTTGCTCTTACACGCAGTATCTTGTTCCACACTTTTATCTTTCTCAAAAGCTGGTTCTTCCTCTTTATTCCCACTTGAACAACTTTGTTTTTCTTCGATATCCTTTTCAAGTTTCTTTTCATCAACTTTTGTTTTCTTGCCATAATCTTCCTGAGTTTTATTCCCTTTCCTTTTCACATTTTTCTTCTTTTCCTGATCCTGATCTAACTCAGTTTCATTACTGCTAACTGGTTTATCTTCATCTCCATCACCCTTATAATCCTTATTGTTTTCCTTGGACTTTCCTTGTTCCTGGCCAATGTTATTTTTGCTCTTCTTCACTCTCTCACTTTCCTTTGCACTTTTATGTTCAGAATCCGAAATTTTCTCTATATTATCCCCATCACTGCTTTCACTTTCCTTTTTGTCAGGAAAGTTTAACACTGCCTTCTTTCGTTCCTTTTTCTCTTTGCCTTTTGAGTTTTCAATCACAGTAGAATTGCAACTTTCAACTATTTTGGCTGTATGTTCTGACTTTACTCTTTTAACACCCTGCAAAAGCCAGAAAGAGTCCATCACTTTGGTGGAAAATAAACAACTGAACCTTGGGAACAACATGTATTAGAACTGAAAAATGTATTCATCAGGGCCAGACAGAAACATGTCACTGCCTAGCTATGGCACAGAACTAATAATATGCAGACTAAACAATGGAAAGGAAATTTGACTTTGAAAGTGAATTCTATCAAACTTGATGACAAAATTTGGAGTGTAGTTATATGATAGTTGTATAAAAGAGGGTTCAGCAGTTAAATTTAAGAAGAACAAGTCTAATAGATAGCTACCTTCTGGCAAAAGTAATGTTTTATTATTTTTTAAAAGGATACTCTCAGGGTTTGTACCATGTTTTGAACAAAAAATTCAAGGTCTTTTCAAGGACTCTCAAGGACACAATTCCCATTTTCCAAGGACTCCATTCAATGCAAAAAAGAGCCTTGACTCTATCTCTTTTTTTAGTTCTTCCACAACATGAGTAATTATTTTATCCCGAGAGTCTTTCTGTGTTTGCTCCTTTCCTTTGGAATTTTACTTAAACTATGAAGTTAGCAAGGACTTTCCAGCACTGACTGCAATTTTCAAGGACTTTCAAGGCCTTGAATTTATATTTTAAAATTGAAGGACTTTCAAGGTGTGTGTGAACCTTGTACTTAAACAAAAAAGCAGTTGCCCAGCAAGAAAATCTTCTCGTCTTGGACGACAAGACAGGACTTCTTTCAAGCCCTTGGTAAAGGATAAGGAAAACAGCACAAGTACCTTAACTTCATCTGCTGGTTCCTGTTCATTATTAGCCTTCCTCTTCGTGGGTTTTCTTGCTGCTGACAAAATAAGCATAGACTTCATTTAATTGTTATATTGCCAGTAAGTTATCAGTTTATTAATAAAACTGGTAATTTAAGGTAAACAAGGTGGGTAATCACAGGCTTGTGGGAGAACTGTGTTAATTCCACCTGATTTCAGTGACTCTTGCATATATATATATATATATATATATATGTGCATTTTACAGCAGTTACGAGGGCCATGTAGAAACGGCAACCCCGTCAACGGGGTAAATAATAAACCAAGTTCCTTGTAACTAAATACCTCACGCTAAAGACACTGACATTTTAAGTTACAGGTTAAAACAAATAAGTTAACACCAGGGATCCAAAGTCGTCAGCTAGGCAAGAACGTGTATGTTAAAAAAGATCCTTGCCATTGCTTTACCTTTTTTTTGGTATGCTGTTGTATTTTTTTTTCCTGAAAACATGAGCCAACTAGATTACCATAGCTACCTGCGGGCATGTTAAAATCATATCTCAAACTTGAAAACAAATATAAATGAATGTATGTAAGCATTTTACTTAATACCCATAATCATTGCATTATAGACATAAGAAAGGCAATATGACTCCTGTGGAACAACACAATCAGTGTCTCAAGAGTGTCCTTACTTAAAGAATGATTATTTCAGTTGTGGGGGTATGTTCAGGATCAAGACTTGACAGTGAGAATTGCACTTGTTTTCAGGGGATTTGAGGACTTTTCATGGATCTTCATCAACTCAAAGGGAAATTCACAAATGCATTTTTCATGAGAACACTTCGGTCAAGGTTGAAAACTTCTTGACAAACTTTAGGAGAGCACAACATCAGTTGCTTAGAATGTAGCTTTTGTGAACACTAAAATAAGCAGTTGTCTCAGCCTCATTTACTCACATATTTCAGTTTTCCAAAAGTAATGAAGGCCACTAATTTCAAGTCTCCATGGTCCTATATATAGATGTATACAAACCTGTCTTTCTTTTTGGTACAAGGGTTAGCTCATTTTGAGGCGATTTAACCTCTAAAAATTGCCTTTTGTCCTTATCTTTCTCCACATCATCATTCTTTCCTAAACTGGCGTCTCTTTGCCCTTCAACATGTGGTTTCACTTCTTCCACATGTCCACTTTGTTTTAGTGATGTTTTTTCTTCAATCGTTTCATTATTTTCTTCATCGCTACTGTCATCAAGTATTCGTCTAGTTTTTTGTTGTCTAGATTTCTTTACAGGTGGTGAATCCAATTCAGAAGAAGGTGGTTTGAACTTCAGAGGAGTTCTGTCCTTAATCTCAACATCTTTGCTTCTAAAGGGGCAAAACAAAATACCATGGTTTCATTTTGTTGTTGTTTAATATTAATTTTCTTGATTGTGATTTTGGTAACCAATATGAGATAAAAAATAACTTAAACCGAACTGAGATTTTCAAGCCAATGAAACATTTATCTACAACGATCAAAACAACCAAGAACCAACTTTTGAGACATCACTCCAAGTGGGGAAAATCTTTCAGAGACTGAAGTTAAAAGTGATTTATCAGGTTGAAAATGGTAGAAAGTTTGTGCAGAGGATATAGTCAGTGAAACAATAATTGTTGAGACATTGTCCTCAAATGGAGTAACTTCAGAGAACAAAACAATCAACACCCCTCCCCCTTCCCCTCCATTCAAAGTCGCGGTGTTTGTTGTTTCCTACAGGTAGCTTGACCAGCTGCACAACATTGCGTGGAGGCTATGGGAGAGGGAAAGCTTTATTTTCCCTTTTTCACATTAGCAAAATGTTTGAGAGGCCCTTTAAGGTGAAGTGTCTCAAATAGTTTTGTTGCCAATTGTAGTTTACCAATAGACCATTTTACAGTTGTTAGTCTCAAATAATTTTGTTGTTTTGATACAAACCTCCTTTGCTTTGTTTACCCTGAAAAATGGAGGTTAAAATATTTTTACAGAATAAAGGGAAGGTTTGTACCAAAACAAGGTCATCTTATTATCCATAACTAAAATGGCCTATGGCACTTATTAAATACAAAAACAAAAAACAGTACTTTTCGGGGCCTTCAGATTGCACTGCGATTAGACTAAGTATGATGAGGAACTTAGGAAGTACTTTCAGGGTATAAACAACAGCAACCTCTCTACAACAGCAACTTTTTTGGGGGAGACAGTCCATACATTGACACTTGTTTAAACCTCTCTACAACAGCTACTTACTTTTGTCCCCAAGGTGGCCGTTGTGGAGAGGTTCAAATTATTGTAATACTGAAGATCAACAATGACCCGAAACAGCGACATAAGTTTTAAGACAGATGAAATGATGATAAACAATACAAAGTTGAGTCGGAAATGAAAAAACCATGAACACAAGCACAAATACTACAATAAAACGTGAAACAATGGGTTTTGAAATTCACACTATGGACATAGTTACCCTCCTCCCCCCTCCCTCCCCCGGCTGAGAGGTCCTGACTTACTGGTAGACAATCAATCGTGGCACCACATACTCAACCAATTAAATTGATCAACAAAGAGAAAAGAGAGATCTGTGGACATAAATGCCTCGAAATCTGAAATTCGCATTCTCAACCTTAAGGTCACAATCCCTTAGCTTAGCATACTACTCAGGGGCGGATGATCTAGGGGGAGGGTGCAGGGGGTGTGCACCCTCCCCCCGCCCCCCGCTGAGATGACCTGCGGGTTTTCTAATACAACTGGTATTCTGCAAAAAAAAAAACTATGTGGTTTATTGGTGTTGAAGTAGAGTAAGAGACAAGTGCAGCCCCTCCTAAAAAAAAATCCAGGATCCGCCCCTGCTACTGTACTGTATATCTACCGCCATATTGAAAAGTGCATATGTACGTGTATGCGCAGATCTACAGTAGAATCTCGATAACTCGAACTCGGATTACTTGAATTCCCCTCTAATTCGAACTAAATTTCCTTTCCCTTGATCAAAATTTCACTGAAATTTACCCCGATAACTCGAATTCCCCGCTAACTCGAACTGGTTTTCGTTTCCTTTCACAGTTCGATCGAGTTACCGGGGTTCTACTTTATTCCCATATGACTGATCCTACCTCGGAAACTCCTCTTTATCTTCTTCATCACTTTTCGATTTGCACTTGCTTTTTGGTTTGGTACTTGGAGAAAAAAAGGCGCTGCAGAACAAAAAAAAACAGTAGAAAAATCCATCAACCCGAGCGCATCGAATGACCATCCATGAATCGACAATTATTTTCGTGATCGCAACGTAAGTAACTTTGAAACTCTTAAAGAACTGTCTGATGATCTGTGGAACAAAAAAATGAACATTTTGACTTACGTTATTCCTCGTTGAGCCATCACAGTTGTTTATCGGTCGAAGACTTTCAAATTATCACGGTCACATCGTTCCCGAACATCTTCCAACAAAACAAGTTCGCGCCACTTCTCCTTTACAAGCGGGGAGTCCTGGGAACAACCCGCGTAAACTGATCTCCAGTCTCTCTCGGTATATCATCCAGCGGCCTCCTCTGAGTTCATCCAGATAGTCTTCTGAAAATTGTTTTTCAAGGTTTCTAGAGGAGATGAAGGCCTTATTTTTCTTCAGAATAAGTGAAATGCCACGCGTAACAGACGAACAGCGAGAGGAGAAGCCACAAGTGGGGGGAGCGAGGGCTTCAGCCCGGCGAACGCCTCTTCAAGGCTCGCATCTCCATTGAGGGCCGGGGGTAAGCCCTTTTCGTTCATCGAGAGCCAGTTCGCCGCTTGAAGGAATATTAAGAAAAGAACGGACTTCTCCTAGTTTAAAAGAGAGGGAAAAGAAGGGGAGGAGCTTTGCTAGGAATTTTCCAATGGTGCGCACAGTTTTCTACTGGCAGCTCTACCCAATCACCCCAATCGTTTTCCTCGCGGGTTATTTCAGTGTTTTGAATAAATTTCCTTTCTTTCTATCAGAGAATTGAGATAATTGTGAGATAATTATCTCCATGGACGAAGGACTGTGTTTAGGGGCCGAATATTTGACTTTTGAGGGGGGTTATGGGCAATTTCAGAAAAAATATCCTGCAGACAATTTCAGAAAAAATATCCTGCAGAAGAACACAAAGGATCGGCAATCGAAACCAAAAAGAGTAGCATGATATGGAGCCTGAAGACATCGCACAAAGTTTTAGAATCTTAAGAAAGTGTCAGAACAAATTTGACTGCCTTATTTTTGAAATGTTTTTTATCCAAGACAGATTTCGAAGAAAAAAATTATTGCAAGGAAATACCTGGCGAAAACAATTCCTTCACTGAAAAAAAAAATATATCTTTCATGGCATATAATTATGAGGAAAAACTGATCTTACACTGTTTATGTCAAGAAAAAAATTCTATCACCAGAGGTTTGAGAAAAAAAGATTCTTATCCAAATCACCAATATCCATCACCCCTCTCAAAAGTCAAATGGTCGGCCCCTTAGCAGGAGCAGTCACAGCCTTCGCTTGTGGCAAAATCAATCAATACTTTGGATTTTGTTTTTAAAAATTGTCTAAAAGCAACTCATACGGAACGGCTGTGGAGCAGACAAAGGTGTACTGGCGTACAGATACTACAGTCTTTGAAGGAAAGAAGGTCTGTGATACTGTCTGGGCCCTTCAACTTTCCGTGGTCCCAGCACCTGTCCTGCCACTCCCTACCGTACCACCCAGCAAGCTACCATGATGCTATAAATGTAGTCCGACTTTTCAAACCTTTATAAACTGTTATTGTATTTGCTATTTGAACCAGGGTAATAGGCTCGATCCTGTTTGAACTAATTGAAGAAATTAAATGTTGGAAGTGCCTTTTATTAAGATCTGTCACTAATATCTTGCTATTCATATGGTCCTAGCAGGACCCAAATTTTAAGCCTTTCGTGCCCAACACAATTCCCTTTTACACACGATTCATGAAATTGAGGGTGCAACGCAAAACCTGATTTTAGGCATGTGTGTCAAATTTTATGGGTACATGTAACGTGGCCGAAACGCTTGTCGAGTGAAACGGAGTCTCCTTAATTTTTGTACACACGCAAATTAAGCAAGAAAAACTCTGGTACTTAGGCAAATAAGATAAGTCAACATTTAGGATCCCCTTTGGAGACAAAGATGCCAGTCACTCCAACTGAAAATGTATTGGTATGCGTATTTTAGTAAGGAATAAGCTGAGTGCAACCAAATACCCTTAACCCCTGAGAACCTAAATTTAAATAGTCTAAATTTCTCGCTAGCTTGGGAAAATACAGGTTCTTAGTAGCGGTTTTTTACTGTATTCCCAACTGTAAAATCAGTCTTGCTTCTTTCAGATATTTTATAGCTGATTTGAGACCCCATTAGATCCTCCTGCTCTTCTATGATATCATTAACTTTGGCCAAGGTCCTTTTTTGCCTCCAAAACTGAATTACGCAAGGGTCGAAACGTACAGCTACTGCTGACCTGCAACCTTTCAAAAAAACGAGACAAACAAACAAACGAGCAAAATATTCACAGCAATCGGCCCATGGGGATTGTTTTCAAAATTAAATCGCTCAGTTTTCGGCAAAATAATCCCACCTGTGTATTTTATAATGCAAAAATAAAGAACGCCCTTGCAACTTAGTAAAGTCTTTTGAGAAATGCACTCTATGCAAACGTTAACAGCAGCAATTTACTTCTAACTGGCGGGGCCATGAAGAGGAACAATGGGTTATTCACAGGGGCGCTCCTGGTTGCTCTATCACTCCATTATTCCGTCTCGACTGAAATATAATTCCATTATTCCAATATGACAAATTACGTTATTCTTCTCCCATCACTACGCCCCAATGACTCAGTCCGTGCCCCCAAGTATTTCGGAATTAATTAGTCATCGCGCTTGTTGCTCTCCGGGGTAGTGTTTATTTTTAAACTCACCAGACCGAAATAACCAAATTTGGGTTGTAAAACTGTTACTGAACAAAAAGCAACAATAACAAGAAAAAGAGCTCCCCTTTTAATCCTGGCCAACTTACAAATGTGCTATCTTGCAGGTCTGTCTCATCGCCAGACTCTTTCGCATCACTGCTCAGGGGCCGCGAGTGCGGGAGGGGAGGGATAGGCAGTTTGCATGCGGAAATGACCGAATCATCAACGTTGGACCAGGGGGCGGGGGAAGAAGAAAAAAGAGGTAAAAAGAAGCAGCCTTTCCAACACTTTTGACCATGATTGTAGCTATGCTACATTAGGTGTCCATTACCCATGGTATTAAAGGTAATTGTTATGTCCACTTGTTTCACTTGTCCAAGTTACAGAAGTTACTGCAAATATTTGAGTTCATAGTATATTCCTGCCAGTTTTAGGTGGACTAAATGAAGTTGCTGTACTCAACCTTCCACTCTCACCTTCAATAGCCGGCATGTAATTTCCCTTTATTGTTCTTATCCGGTTTATCAGCATTTTTTATAGGTCTTATGATCTCTGATCTTTACACTAAAGGCTCTAACACAGTAAATTAAAATAACCGGGTTATGGTTTAAAATTCAGTCAAAACAATTGATTAAAAGTATTGTGCACAAACACATACCTGATATACGTTAAGATACTTTTATTTCTTTTTTACTGAACACCACTGACAGATATATAAAAGAATGAAGATTCTGTTGTTCATGTTTGGACACGATGTCACTGACAGATAAATTTGTTGATCGCGAAGAGACTTAACATAATCTCTTAGTTTCCATTGCTCTTGGTGAATTTGATTTAATTCTTCTCCCTGGACCTTCTCGTTGTAGCAATTTCGGGCGAAACATAATGAAAAGAAAACTAAAATTTGCTGCACTTCAGCGTGAGGTAGCTTAGCACAGTAACACCAGTCACCAAACACCAAACAAGAGCCTACAAATTACGCTGATGTGGCAAATTTTAGCAATCCACTTTCTACTATAACATCTAATGACGTCTAAAATGGCTTGAAACACGCTTTGGGGGTTCTTTGCTTTTATATGCCCAGCGTTGCTATTTTCCGCTTTGGCGCAATCGTGCCACGGACAGGACCCCCGTATTTCGTTCTATTTTTGGGCCCTTCGCTGGGGGTCTTATATATAAAGGGGTGTGGCGAGGCGAGGTTCTCAGCCATATAAGAAAGTAAGGCGGGCGGGCACCTCGATCTTCGAGCTTCAGAACTTCCGTTTGTTTCTTCTACAAGAGTTCGTCTAGTGAGAAAGTTCTCCAGCATAAATCATCTTCATTATCATCAGGGTTCCCCGTCTTGTTGCAAGAGGATTGCGTTGAATCGGAAAGGAGCTCTTCGCCGCAATGCAAGCTATCAAATGCGTGGTTGTAGGAGACGGGTAATATAAACGCGTTCCGATATGATTACTAGCTAAATCATCTGAAAAATTCTTCTCTTCATATTTCTCTCAAATAGTCTACTTTATGCTCTTATTTAGCCTTTGTGAACTTCATACGCTTTTATCTCCGAAGTTATGATGTTTGGACGCCCTCTAATGGCGCTATATCGGTGTCCAATGCTATTATAATTTCGCTAGCTACCGGCGTTGCCGTGCGCTCTTCTACTCATGGATCAAAAGAAACGTGTCCATACGTATTTGTGATGCTTGTGTTCGTTAGTTTCAACTTCTAGAAGCGTTTGAGCCCGTTAGAGATGTTATTATTGATCAGCATATACTTTTTCTTCTTTTAGTGCCGTTGGCAAGACTTGCTTGTTAATCAGCTACACTACAAATGCCTTTCCGGGGGAGTATATTCCAACGGTGTAAGTACAGCGTTGCTTGTTCATTTAGCAGTTATATCATTATGATATTTTATTTTCACAGATCAGTTATTAGTTGTTGGACGTACTGTTCAATTATTTGTTTGTAATTTCGTTGTCAACAACCACTGAAGCCGTAATGATCAAATTGCCTTACTCTTCTCCCTTCATCAGATTCGATAACTATTCAGCAAATGTAATGGTCGATGGAAAGCCCATAAATCTTGGATTGTGGGATACAGCGGGTATGTCCTGAGCTTTCTGTCGTTAAGATTATTCTTAACTCGAAATTTGTGCAGTAAGGTTGATTCTAAAGGAATCTTTCAAGGTTTCTACCGGTATAACAAATTATCAATCACACAATCGGAATAATAATCTAACTCCAATACACGTCACATTTCGATACATTTACTGCTAACTGGATGCGAGGTCTGCATTATTGCAGGTTTTGTAAAGTAGTGTGATGTTTGAATTAATAATTTGTTGTGTCGGGCAAATCAATCATGCACCGGCATTTTAGAGCAAATTGACAACTTTAACAATATAAAAGACCATAACTATCGCTTTCTGTTAGTAATGTAATTTATTGTTTTTTTTGCACTGTGGTCAAGAAATAGTGGAATTACTTTAAGTGTTAATCTTGTTAGCTTGTACATTGTGTCTGGTGCATGTTACTTTAATATGGGAACGTGATGTCATAAAATAGTATGTCTGGTGGATCTGTAGATAGTTCATGCCATTCTTTATGAAGAGAAGACAGAACAATTGTTGACAGTGTAAAATTCCAACAGCGACATTTCAGTACTGACTGAATTTGTTACGTCTTACAGGTCAAGAAGACTATGACCGGCTACGTCCTCTGTCATATCCTCAGACAGTAAGTGTTAGCACCAAGAAAAATGGAAGCATTGTAAAACTTACTGTGCCACCAAATATCAGACCTTTGTCATTCTTAGCCACGTTCTGATATAACAGTCTTAGTTTACCTTTGGATTATTCCAGAAAAAATCCACACCCCCACAACGGAAGGCATGCTGGAAAATCTCATGGGAGGGGGGGTTAACGGATCTGGAAATTCAGATGTGAGGGGGGCTCTGAACCTAAAAATACATCCTCGGGGGTAACTTTCGATTTCATCGATGTTTCAATCGCTTCAATCGATAAGTTTTCAAAAAATTGCTTTGCCTTTTCAAATTTTATTATTCTTTCAAACTACAGACCTCTTACCACATTTATTTTAAGTTTCCATCCATAGGCTCACCCTCGTTACTTTCGTAGAAGCGATGTGCGATAACTTGAAGATATGAAGAAAAAAAGCGCTCAGTTCAAGTAAAGCAAACAATGATTTTACCTTGAATTATACATTTTTCCAAGGTTAATGCTATTTCAGGGTGATTTACCACTAAACAGGCCTTACAACCACATTTTGTAAGCGTGGTTGCTCGTGATTGTTAGGCGGCCATTTTGAAAGGCAAGTGTTGTGGCAAGTTGTACAGCGCATCATGTAATATCGTGCTAAGTGTCCTTTTTCTTTCTTTCTCGGTCATTTTTTATCGACAAAGAAGAGAACCATTTATTTGAGAACATAGTTAGTTTTGAGCTTTATTGTAGTATATATTGCTGTATATTTTGCCTGTTCTAGAAAAAAAGAGAAATCACTCAAATACAAGCTTATTTGCAAAAAGTGTAAGCCTGTTTAAGAAGATGTGAAAATGGAATCTTAACATTCACAACAAACACAGAATTCACGGAAAATTGAGACTCATTTAACAAAAAGATTATCTGAGTGCCTAAAAGGATTCTTCTACATTGAGTGTAAAGTAAAATCACTTTGTCTAACAATTTTATGGAAATCCAGATGGGTGGGGGGTCTTTGAACTTGGAAATCCTGATTGGAGGGGGGCTCTAGCAGTGTTGGAAATCCAGGTGGATGGGGGGGTCAAAAAACCGTGCCTTCCGTCGTGGGGGTGTGGATTTTTTCTGGAATAACCCATTTGTAGGTCACAAGTTGGTATATGCACACTTAAGCCTGAGAAAACAGCCAACATTTGACAACGCTACCACTGGTTTCCCAGCCAAATAACATCTGAGAAAAGAGTGCAGAAATTCCCAACTTATGACGTGTTACCACCCAGATCTGGGTAGTGCCCCTGATTGGTCATGGCGCGTGGGAAATTCCCAGATCTGGGGTAGTGACACATCATCGGTATAGAATTTCTGTGCTCGTTCTCAGACGTCATTGGCAGGGAAACCAGTAGTAGTGTTGCCAAATGTTGGCTGTTTTCTCATGCTATGTAAACTTCAGCATCAAAAACACTTGAAAATAGGTTTCCATCAATCAAATGCTGCAGACATCAGCTACTGGTATTAGTTTTTTGGGTTAGTTTTTTATTGTGCACAAGAGGAACATGTGAAGTAGGCTCGATTACCAGCCACTGTCCGGGAAATGAGCCCACAATCCTCCCTAGAAGAGACAGCAGGACTCATGGGTTTGCTGTTATTGATTTCCACCAGTCAGATCGTTGCCTGCTCAAATCGAACAGGCAGCAGATTTCAAATGGTGGATACAAAGGTGTTGTTTGATGTAAGGTGCAATCTTGTTATAGAGCGTTTAAGCTTAAAACCCTGAAATATTGCCAAAGAAAAGTGTTAGAGAAACTTTAAATGGTAAGGATGATTTTGGTACTTCAACCAACTGGATCTGGATCATTAATCATTTTCCAGTCTGCACCAATGGTTGTTGACAAGTAACATGTAAGAGATGACTTTCAAGTCCATTCCTCTTGTAGTGGCTCTGTCAATTTGTAGCCTGCTCATTCTGCCTTCCCCAGGCATTTTTCAGGCATTTGTCCTTTAAATCCCCACAGTCGGGCTTTTGAAAGAGTGCCAGCAAAGTGGGACAACTGAATTCCGAAACCTGGTTCAGCTTAATCACCGTATTTTATAATACACCATGCAAAACTATCCGTTTTCAGAAAGGCTCATTGAACAGCGTACACAACACGCTAGCTCAACTTTATTTAGAATTTCTTTGCACCATTTTATAATGCAGTCATAAACTGAGTTCTTCTTCTTAGTTCCCTCAAGACAGTTTAATCGTCTGTAAATACTAATCCCTTTAACCCCCTTCAATGTCATGTATATTCTAATGCATGCAAACATCAGCATGGTAAGGTTTAAATATAAAGTAGCTATTAATTTGTATGAATCTCGCCCATGTGATGATCAGTTTTCAGCCACATATTAAAGTGATAAGTAACTGGGGATCAATCACTTCCTCACTTAATTGGTGGGGGTAGGATCCAGTTGACTACAAAAGTTCAGGATTGACCTAAGGGATGTTTATCAACTCAGGTTTTATATTGTTATATTGGGGGTAATCAGAAAATCTAAAGTGAACAATGTGTTACGAATGACTTTTAAAATCTGAAATATAATGTTTCTTTGACAATGCCCTACCCTCTGTCGACCTGTTGTAGCAAATGCCCCAGTCTTGGTAAGGAAAAGGTAGAAAATGCAATGTAATTTCACTCCAAAGTTCGCTGATGCAATATCAATGAAATTCCCCTTAACTAAATCAGTACGTGTTTCTGCTGATTTTTTTGGCGAATACCAAAGTGACGAAGAGGGAAAACTTATGTGTTTGGCGTTTAATGACATTTCCCATTTCCGGTTTTTTCGTGAAGATGCATTAACAAAATTTTGAATTACGTCACAAACATGATCAGCCACTCATGCGTCCAGCTCTCTCTTCTCAGCAAAGGCTGAAAGAAAGGTGGAAATTGAGCCTACACTCGAAGGGGAGAGGAGATGCCTGCGACAAAAGCCCTACTGTTCCGTTTTCTACGTTCTCTGACAGTGTCTAAAATTCCATTGGGTAAGAGTGCCTCGACGGAGTTAGTCTGTTACCTCAATGCATTATTTGTCGGTCTACGGCAATTTGAGTTTTAAAAACAAAACACATATGCGGCGCATTCTCAGCAAGAGATGACAATGGCAAAAGAACTATTTGAATTGTGCTTGCAATAGTCTACAAGAACTTTTGAAAGAGCTTTGCTCAAAGAGATTTTCATTTACTTTAAAGGTATACTGGGCAACCAAAAGCATTGCACCATCTTTTTCTTGGTAAAGATCTCTTAGCAGTATTACCACATAGGTTCGGAAAAAGTTTGATTTTCTAGTTGTTTTTCCATTGATTGGGGTGTGAAGATCAGAACCCGGCTTTGCAAGTATGGTTTTTATTTCCTACGTTGCAGATTAAGCAGTAGAGGTAATTTGTATGGAAATTTCAGCATGTGACACGAAAACAAACCTGGAATGTTTGAAAGAAATACCAGTAAAATTATGAGATGGTTCAAGTGTCATTTAAAGTGTAGATGGACAAAAGATTTAAGAATTCATTTAAGTCACCATCACACAAATATGACAGTGTCTTTAGTTGACGAAGCCGGTGACCTTGACAGTACAGAAGTAAATGTGTTTCTCATGTTTGCCAATCGCCACTTATTTAAAATTGTATCGTTTGCTTTATGAACTATTAACCAAATACATAATTATTTTTCCAATTGGGTCTGATTTTGGTTTCATGTCATTAGGTAATCAATCATTTTTTTGACAGTCAATGCAACATTTGCATTGGGAGAATTAATGGAAAACCAGGGTCTCCACTGCTGGTGCCTCCTCTCTCCCTACTCCCCTCGTTCACACGTGTGTCCCTGCCATGCAGGCTAGTTTCAACTGTTTCCCTGAGGGAAATATATCTTCTAAAGAAATTTGTGGTAAACTAATATGTTCACTTTGTTCTCTTTTCAGGATGTTTTCCTAATATGTTTCTCCTTAATAAGTCCAGCTTCATATGAAAATGTTCGAGCAAAGGTAAAGATGTTGCCTTCATATCGTCTTATGTAGATATAAGGTTGTTAAACCTCTGTCTTAAAGGATGCTTTTGACTAAAAATTGGTTTCATTCAGTGGGTGGCAAGATGATGGTGATTGGTTTTAGGGCCTGTGGTCGAAACATAGCAGGCAATCAGAAAATTATCACAGTCATGGACAACTATATGTATGTAGCTATTGAGCTCCAGGGATCTTTTTTGAAAAGGTTCTTTAGCCATTCTAAAAAGTTTTAGGCTTCAAAGAGGGCAAAGAAAAACTAGTGCTAAACGGCATCCGAGATCAAATCCTGTCACAACAACGCACCTACAGAAACATAAAACCACAGGAAATACGTGTAATAACTCAATATACATGAGGCATACCAGCTTCATGACCTCTGAATTCAAGAATCAAAGGCAAAAATAAGATTTGTTCAGTATAAGTTTATGGTACCCCATGCACTGGGATCCATAATCTACGCACTAGAAAGAAAAGAAGGAAACCTCAAGCAAACGCCAAGATCATGTTTTACACTATCACAAGCTTATGAGTTGCGACTGACCTGTCAAAACTATTTCAAACTAATGACTTTCCGTATCCAATGGGAAGGCTTGCATAAGATCCTGGATTAGGGCTTGTAAGAATATTTTTCTTGCACGGTACAGAGTAAAGTGATTTTAAAAATGTCTCTCTCTCAATTGCTTGATGGAAATAAGTCGCAAGCACCGGCATTTTGAGACATGAAACATGAGCCACGAAAATTTTGGTCAGCCGAAACTACTGTTTTTAATTTATGCAAGTTTACTCCCATACAAGATTAGCAGAGTGAATCACAGATGCCCCTTCTCCTATTTTCTCTCAGGGGAGTGGGTGGCTGTACACGGGCTAAGAAGCCTAAAGAAAACAAGACTTATGTCATAAAAACGAACTAGCATTCAGAGACAATATAATTTTAGCCTGTTGTTCTCAAAACAGTATTTTGTTTCTTATTTAGTGGTACCCTGAAGTCAGTCACCACTGTCCAAGTACACCGATCATCTTAGTTGGAACCAAGCTTGATTTACGTGATGACAAGGAAACAATCGATAAACTAAAAGACAAGAAGCTTACGCCTATAACCTATCCACAAGGCTTGAGTATGGCCAAAGAAATTGGTGCAGTTAAATACCTCGAATGTTCAGCTCTTACACAGAAGGGACTGAAAACAGTTTTTGATGAAGCAATCCGAGCAGTTCTATGCCCTCAGCCAAAAGCCAAGAAGAAGAAATCTCTTTGTCTGTTGTTATAAATTTAATGTTGTAAAGGGATATGAGACTGTAACACACTCTTTGTGGATTTATTCTGGTTTGATCTGTCAATTCCTTTAGTAATTTGTGTGGGAAAACATTAGACTGGTCTCCTATTGGTAAGTATAGAAAAAAAACACTAGACAATGCCCATTTGGGTCATTTGCACATTACTTCACTGTAGGTTGGTGTGCTTGGTGTACATACTGACATCCTGCTACTAGTATGGTGTTGGAATTTTTTAAAGGCCTATTTCCTTTGGTATTTTTTCTATGAATGTTGCTGTGAATTCCACTGCAATGTCATAACAATTTTGTTGCGATTGAAAAAATTTGCATTCTACAGTTACCATACAGGACATCTGATACAATAAAGTACTTATTGTCCAAGAGACCCAAGATAGATTCTTTACTACCTTCAAGAAGAAATTTGAAGAAAAAATGCATCAAATTTCATAGAGTTTTGAGACAGCAGTGATTTTGTAGGGATAAATCACTGAGATGTTGTCGTTAGTTTACACATGTAATGTGATTTATGCACCACAAATTGCAGCAAAAATGGCACTAAAACTCACCCGGGTAAATGGGCCTTTAGTTTGTTTCGGTTTTTTAAGTTAGTCAGCAGGAGGATGTTGTTTTATGAGAATAAATTGAACCGAACTGAACAATGTAAAAAACAGTTTACCTAATTGTTTACAAAATTAATATTTTTTCTATAATTATTTTAAGTTTAAAGGCAGGCCAGTCTTTCTCTTTCATATTAGAGGAAAACCTCCTTAATACAAACACCAAAGGGAGAGAACCACCGAGTGTCAACATGACAGAGGTGTTATTACCAATGTAATCGTAAGAAGCTTGGTGTCTCTGGGACCAAGAGAGCTGTCTTGTACTAAAGAGGTTTCCATAAGGAGAGGTTGGACTGTATTTTACCTGATTGTTCATCGCTAAGTAATTTCTTTGTCAAGTTTTCTGTACCCATGTACACCAATCTTTTTTTTGATTCCCTCTTGTTTTCACCTTGTTTCATGGTAAACCAGAATTCTGCTATCCCAAGACCTCATGTACGTATGGACTAATAATACCTTTATTTTACGAATCAGAGATAGTCTGTAGGGAGTGGTTACCTAAAGTATAGTGACAGGGGATGCAAGTACAGCCAACTTACCATGAGCCATGTATTGATTCTCAAGATTCCCAAAAATGAAATTCTGAAAAAAAGTTAAATTTAATTCTGTACAATACAGGAAAAAGTAACTAAAAAACATACACACAAACAAGTTGTAGGACTTAACTGCATTTGGAATGTCACAACGTTTGAGCTTTTATTTTTCTCTGTTTTTGTATGGAATATTTTTTTTCTGTTCTTGCTGCTCACGTCCTTACATTGACTTTTCAGTTTTAAAAAGAATAGCAAACGGTGAATATTCTGCTGATATAGCATGAAAACCTAACCCCTAAGTTTTACAGACTGTTGCATCGTCCTTTCTATAGGATATGAAAATGCCTCCGTGCCTTTCTAGGGAATAGGAAGGTACAACAATGTGAAGGAGATGCGGGATAGCAGTATTCTTACTTGCATATGTTATGAATTTTGTAGACACAGGTGCAAAAGATTTAAGATTAACTATAAAAGAAAATTAATTTTGTATTTGTGAGTGTATTTTAGTGCTGCTGTGTGAAAGCCAGATAAAAAAGTTGATATGCATTAATTTTATGTAATGCAAGAGAATGTGGCTGGATCCCATGAATACATGCAAGCAGTGCTTGCATAAAGTGACCAAAAAATGCATGTCATGTCCCAATGAACTGGGCCCGGTACCTGAAAGGCTGATTAGTGCTAATCCGGGATTAAAATTTTGTTCCGTTTTTGTATTTTGCTTTCCTATGTGTTACTTCGAATAACATTTTGTGTTATCGTTACTGTATCTCGGAGAAAAGGCTCAGCAGTATTTTGTAAGCTCAAGTTGCATGTTCTTAGACAAGAAAACTTTGCTTAAAGTTAAGCTTAATCCTGGGTTAAACTTAATCATCTTTCGAGGAACCAGGCCCTGATGGCTTTCAGACAGACACTGGCCTTTTTGGTGTTCATCATTTCTCCTAGCAATTTTCGTGTCAGGGTTTCAGTGAGCATTTGAAGCTCTTTCAGTGGACATCATAAAGGGGTTGTTTTTTTGGTGTTGAGGAAACTATTTTTAGTTAGCTTTTGTGTTTTAGCACTTGCAGCTAGAGAATTTCTAGCACCTCAATGTTGTGTATAATGTCATTTTCTTGGTTGTGCCATTCTAGGCACCAAGAAACTACCGTACAAGACAGCTCCATGTGCTGAGGGTTGTTTCGTTTAGTAGCTGACTTTTACTTCCAGGGCCTGTCCACTTGTGAGATTCTCAACCGTACGTAAAAATTGACATGCTAACTAATGAAAAATATTATTATTTTGAGGGCTCAATATTGTTTTCCCTCCATTGCACTAAGTAATGTGGCTCTCAGAAATGAAATATCTGGCTATTTTTTTCTCACTGTCAAAAAAAAAAAAGAAGAAAATTCTGTAAAGCAACTTTTTAAAATATGTTGGCTTTTGCGCAGGTAGAACCATTTGAAATAGATATAGTCTCCGAGCTTTCGTACTGAACAAAATTGGATCAAGAGCCTTTTTGATTCATGTTCAATGGTGCTAATAAATTATCTAATTTTAAAGTTTTCACTTTGTATATATGACGTGTTTGATTGCAATGAGATAGTGTTTGTTTAGATTATTATAAGCAATATTACACCTATTGGTCGAATCTAATAGGTGTCAGTAATTATAGTTTATAACCATTTTCCATCTACCCCTGTGACCTCTTGTGAAATCTATGGTATATTTCTAATATTATCTTCAAAGTTTTGGCCTTAATTATGTAATAAAAAGATCATGGGATCATCCTCTTGGTTTGTTTTTTTTAAAGCTCTGTTCCTTGAAACCTTACATCAAAATCAACTCTTTGAAGGAACGCCTTTGGGACTACAATCCTTGTCAAAAATCTTGATACACTTGTGTGCGTTTCCCCTTCCCCAATGTTGATTTGGGCATTACAGCGGTCTCAGTACTTCAAAATACGCGTGGCTCAACATTGGGGAGGGAGAGGGCACATTACAGTGAGAACAACTATTTCAACTATTGGTGACAAGTATTGTATTTATCTCAGATTTATGCCTACCATAACCCTTTAACACCCAACATCACCAACATCAATGTTCTTCTGACAATGCCCATACATAGTCGCCGACAAATGGATATAGAATTAATAAAATGAATGCTTTGATCTTTTATCAAACCCTCTCCGTTAATCTCTAAGGAAATGTATGGAGATCGGTCTGAAGAATTTGTATGTGGATATTGGGGCTTAAAAGGTTAATAGTTCAAGAAAAATGACGGGGTGCAATGAACAAATCTTGAACAAACTATTCCGACAATTATCTTCTCCTATAACATAACTTCCAAAATACTTAGTTGCGTGCTCAGGTAGCGCCCCTGTATCAACATCTTCTCTGTATGATGCTTCAAGAAACTTGAACTCTGCCTTACAGTCGTCACCATTAGCACTAACCAAGAGAGTCTCCATCTGGGCGTAGGAGCTGAAGCTTTCCTGATAGATAGCACTGACGATAAGATCAACAGCCTCATAATAGACCCTTCTAAAGTGATCTTTGGCAGTTTGGGGGTAGAGGTTGGTGCACCAGCACCAACCTCCAGTCTGGCCGAAGTGCATCGCTTTCAGTGGAAGCGTTGGTTTACCAAGCAGGCCTTCGCTCTTGCGCGAAATATTAGCATAGAAATGGTCGAAGCTCTGACACTGGGCATTTTTTTGATCGTCTCCTTTGTTAGATATGCCAACGTCAGGCCTTGTCCACTGACAGCAGCCACCTTAGTACCCTTAAGGTCCTTAGATAGATTATCGGCGTGGGAATGAAGCCGCCCTCCAAGATACAAACCAAAGGAAAAGTCAAATCGTTCCATTTAGGTCTTACATCCTATTATCCTTGCACGCACATCGGGTTTAATCGTTCGGACAAGCAAACATCTCACTCTTCCATAAGAACTGCATAGTTCTCAAGGATTCGTCGAAAACAACTGGCTCTAACCGTCCTCCTTTTAGGGAAAAGTCCAATACTTCCACGATAACTTTTTCCATGTCAACTGGAGCCCTAGAAAATAAACCCCAGCAAAAAAGTGGTAGGGCTACAGCCCTACCAGCCCCTCCCCCTCCGCGGTCCCTGCCTCAGAGAGCTTGCTTGCAGACTACGTTGTCCCTCGTTGCCCCTTGCTCGGTAGTGTTTGTTCCTTAGCCTTCCCTCCTTGTGCTAAGTCTATGGTAAGAACGGCGCCTGGGAGGGTGCCACTCCCAGGGTTGTTATGGTTACGCGTTTCGGTACTCTCAACTGCAGTTCTTGCCCCCACGAAGCCCAGTCGCTACGCGTTCTCGGCTCGGTCAAACCTGGACCCTACCGTGAGCTGTGACGTCACCAAGAGTTCCCAGAAATCGCACGGGCAACGGGGCAAGAGAGAACGCAAGGGGGAGACTAGGCTGGGCTCCACCAACCTTTCAGCACCTAAACGCCAAAAGAAGACAAAAATAGAGTGCTTAAGAGTGACGTCATTAAAAATTAAATTTGTGAAACTGTTGAATTTGTCGGGAGGAACAACATCAAAAAGCGTGATTGCCAAAGAAAAAAGCATTTCGGGGCAAATTGTCTCCCAGAGGACTCCATACAAAATCTTTTTGAATTTTAATCGTTCATAACGTTATGAATAAAGCAAAGTCGCTTGTAGATATTTCACTGACGACAAGCACCAGTTAGGCTGGGACGGGCGGAGCTCTATAAGCCCTCCATGGATCAGAATAGACCTCTAACTTTTATCTTTTGTTTTCCCAAATGAAGGTATCAGTGGAATTTCCCCCGTCTTATCACAAATTGTGAGTACATATGCACTGGAATGAGACGAAATTTGAATGAAACAGTTCTCTAACACCGGTATTACCAAACGAACTACAGATGGGAAAACAAAACATGCTACGTAGATCCTGTGTATCTTTTGTGTTTTGTCACGCGTCCCCGCCCCTATATATACAGGAGTGGGTGTGAAATTTGAAAAAGGTAAGCATGGGAAGAAAAGTAAAAGCGCCGAAGGGGCTCCACACGTAGCCTAGTAGGGCGGGAACGCGTGACGAACCCCTAAGAACGTCTGCGTGGGAGGCTACTACCGTAGACTCGGGGTCCGGAGGCAAACTCCCAGAAACAATTTTTAAATTTAGGGCCCTGGAAATGACATTTCCGCTTAGCGCAGGGCATTTTCAGTAAATAAATGCAAAGGAAAATGCTGTGAGGGGGCAGGGAAGATTTTCGCTCCACTATAGTTTTTCTTGCTGTCTATTTATGGAATAATAAAAGGAAACTAACACAAAACACCAATATGATGCAAAAAAATTATAAAATATCCCGATATAATGATAAAAATGCTTTCGGGAAATAATAAAAAAAAATACAAGATTTCAGCTGTACGCACGGGCGTATGGACGCTACGCTCGCGCTCCTGCTATAGCGGAGTCGATTCGTTGTGACAAGGAAGCTATGGAATAAGGAAAATGTGCTGAGAAGGGGTTAACACTCCTCCTCCGTTCTTATTTCGCAAGGAAACGCGTGGAACTATCCTTTGGTAAAATCAGATTAATCAGCAATAAAAGAAATGAAGAATATGAAAGTAAAGCGAGTTCTCGTCGATCCATCTTGCCTCTTTGTGTCGTACTGTAGGGAGGCTGGGGAGAAAGAAAAAGAAGGCGCGCGGGGCACAATGGGAAGGGGAAAGAGAGAAGATCTTCCCATCGGTCTCCCGCGCTCTTTCTATGGATACCCAGCGGCAGCCTCTGCGTTGGAAAGAGAGTTTACTATGCATTCCACTTAGGCCCCTCGTCGTCGATTTTTGTTCTGGAATTTTCCTATGACCTGCATGAATCCGCTCAAGTTCTGGTATGTCCTTCAACAGCAATCTTAAAAACCAACCATCCTTGTTTCTTATTCTATTCTTTATTCTATTTAGCCCGATAAGCATGTTATGCTATTATCCTCGTTCTTTCAAGCATACTACTAGTGCTCAACAGTTTAAAAGTTTTCTACATGCTCACTATTGGCCTGTGTGCACACGTCCCCCTCCTCTCAGGAAAAATAGGGGATATTTTATTTTTGAGGGGAGGTGGCGTCCGTATACGGTTAGCTCATTGTAAGACCAGGCTAAGTTTCTAGATAGGCCAGCTCAGTTACACCTGTAGCACATTCTTATTACGCACACCCTTTACTTCCTTTATATACATCTTTTTTCGTCAAATTTTAATTATAGACATTGTAGGGTAGAAAATCAATTGGGCTCCTGACCTGTTTTCATCGGCCTGTCAGCATGCTGTTGTCTGTCTGTCTGTCTGTCATGCTGTATGTATTTTTTTCTTGACAAATATTAATGAACTAACTTAATTCAAATACGTTTTTGATTTTTCTAACAGATAGGAATTTTTTGTTGTTTTTGCTTTTCGTTAAAATATTTTTCTTTAGGTATTCATTCATTTTATTTTTTGTTTATCTATAATCTTTTTTTTGCCAGAAATAAACCAATAGTTGGTGTCATTTATTTTTTCCTTGTTGTTATAAAAAATTCAGTGCGATGGGGCGTAGGATAGTCAAGCGAAGGAGCGTTACGTGGCGAGCTGCTGACGCCGGGTGATACCAGAGCGTGTTCCAGTTAGAGATCGCTATAAGAGTCTTTAACGCTTTCGAAGCTGGCCTTACATCTCTTGTCAGAAACTTCCCCTAACTTCGACACATTTTACAGGCGCGGATGATTACTTTCTTGGCTCAATTGAAAACGACGAAAAACAAACAAACTGGGGTGGAAGCTGGAATGGAACCGCTCTAAAATGACCACAAAAGGAAACAAGAAATAAGTTTATTCGTATCAATAGTATAGCCTGCGTAGCTAGCGTCTCCGATCACGAGTTTTTGCGGGAAAGTTGGAGCTTGAGAAAAATAATGGAAGAAGGGGGCTGGGCTAGTTTATTCAGAAATGATTTATTGTGATTTCAGACGAATAGGCCTAGTTTCATTTTGTTGTTTGAAATGTGACTTTTATAGATATAATATAGATCTTTTTTTATCAATACATGTAAAAGTCGAAATTCGGAATGACGACTTCTCTAAAGCCAGCAAACGGATTCAAATACGCAGCGATGATTTCAAAATAAGTTTGCACATAAATAAAGATACTAGATTTCGCAATTCAAATGAATTTATTTCTGGCTAGCTACGTCACTTCCGTACTAATCCGGATTTGCTGGTTTTTAAATTGACATCAATAATATTCAGCGTGTATATTAAAAGTGTGTATAATGTTTGTCCCTTTCTGTTTCCATCTTTAAATATTCCAGTCAAAATTAGACGAGAACATAAATGGAAATATTTTGCGTGAAAGATTTGTTGTTTTCTAAAACTAGGAAAGAACTGGAGTGATTTTTCGTCAAGCTCAAAACTATTGTTTTGGTGATCATCATCAAACCATATATGGTGTTTGTTTTTCAGATTTTGACGTCAAACGGAAGCCAAACAAAACAATGAAGGGATGGTCGGATTAGCGTCCATCAATGACGTAGAAGCCTCAATTTAGTAAAGTAAGGGGCTTCCCTTGCTCAAATATGATTGGTTACGAGTGAAGATTATTGTCTTCTTTATTAGTTGATTGGTTTCTATTGGTTGCTGATGACGTCGTTGTCTATCTTAGTGACCAATCAGAAACAAGATTTTCAAGAGTGGCACAAAGCGAAGAAAATATACTTTGAGTTGTCTTCGCATCTTTTGCTTATTGCGACCATCTTCTGATCCGTAGCAAATAGTATAGTTTCATTTTTTCTACATTTTATAAAAAAATAAGCGAACACAGTCCAATGGATCTCGAAGTTCAGTTTGCAGTTAACTTCTTAATCGGCTACCTAGTGAACAAGCTCCCAAGACGCAGAGTGCAGCTTTTTCATGAAGAGCTTGTTAAAAGACTGACGAAGAAATTCGAAGGCCATTGGTACCCCGAAAAACCTTGTAAAGGAAGTGGATATCGTTGCCTCCTTATTACTGATAGCTTAGATCCTGTGCTTAGTTCTGCTGCAAAGGAAAGTGGGCTTAACGTGAAAGATGTAAAGGCCAATTTACCAGAAAAACTTTGTTTATGGATTGACCCGCAAGAAGTCTCTTTCAGAATCGGTGAGTTCAATGATGATTTAAAGGACGTATAAAGTAGTGCTGTGCAGTAAAGCAATTAGTTTCTCAGTAGTTAGTCGTCAATATTTTCTTTGTTTTTTTCGTTTTGCTATTCGAGAATGCCCTGAAAGCGATCGATCGAACGATACGGCCGAGTGAATGTAAGTTTCATCATCACGTACGCTTTCGCTGCCTGCGTAAGCAGACATCACACACGTCCCAACTCGATTTGCTTGGTTGGCATATTTTTCGAAAGTCATTTATTTTCTTCTTACTAAATCTGAGACCCTGGTAGGAATTAAATTTCAGTTTTAGTGGGTAATCCATGTTTTCTTTTGTTTAGCCTAACTTCCACTCTCTTCCTTCCGAAGACCATCTGTATCGGGAAATGTCTCGAAGGTTGTGTATGAATATCTAATGTTTCCTTTATTTGTCCTCTCGTCAGGTGAACAAGGGGCTGTAAAGACGATATACAAGGCAGAAAAGAAACCTGAAGAAATTTGCGAAGAAACCGCTCGTTGGGTCAACCTTCTAAATGGCCACAACAGTGGAGTATCGAACAATATCAGTCCTGTTCCATTTCGATCTCAGAGTCCCCCGAGATTAATGGCCGACCGTTCCTCTCCAGTGTTCTCGTCCTCATCAAGTTCTTCATCTTCATGTTCTTCTTACAACTCCCCATTTACGTACAGTAGCTGGAGCGCAGCTGACGAATCTTCCCTCTACAAATACCGTGCGAAGAGAGCTTCTCCTACGCCATTATCAGCGAACGCGAAAGAGTTCATCTACCGTTCATCGAGGGAAAGCTTCCCTCTTGGCGCACCGCAAGGCAAGAGTGGGCTGGAAACCACTAGAGGTGCCTTACTTTCTTCTTCATTTCTTGACTGGCTTAATTACAGTGAATTTGGAAATTTCAATACGGCAGCCCAGTTACCGATATTGGCTTGAAAAATGTTAAATGTTGAGTTAACTATGCCGGACATTTAAACAATGGTCCATGTCCAAATTTGTACGAATAAAAATAGGAAAAAGATGTTGTGAAAGTTATCACAGAAAAATTGTAAATTTTTATCAAAGTAAGTTACAGTATTTCTCCAACGGATGTACATTTGTACAAAAAAGCGTTTTGTTCATAAATGAAAAGTGTATAGTGTTTCTTATGAGAGATGTAAGAGGTATTTTGTTCTTGTTTCAAAGAAAGTAAAAAAAAATATTGCCAAAATGGCCTTGAATTTATTATGGATTGTATTTAAGAATTTTTGAAGAGAGATAAAATAAAGTTTGCATACAAGTGAAACATGTTGATGTTGTTTTTCATTTCGCAGTCTAAATAAAACTTTGATGACTATGTTACATCCTCTCACATCATTAGCACCACTGCCATTTTAAAATTACCATTATTAGGAAGTAGCTGTTTCTTTGAGGTGTTCCTTTCCCAACGAGTGACGAGACATGTATTATACTGATGTATTTTGAACATTCAACTGGTAAAAACATGACCTTTGCTAACAATATGCTTTGTCAAACATGGTTTGCAATGTTTCCACACACACACACAAAAAAAAATTCATGGTGTCATTTGAACATCCAAAAGGGAACTAAATGAGATATATAACAGATGTTATGTGCTGAGTATGACACTTTAAATGTGTACTACTTGACTAAATTTAAATGGGTGGGTGGGATTTTAAAGGGTCCTTTATTCCAATTTTGTCCAAGATTGCAGCAGGCGTACATTGGAGGTTTTTATTATCTTTTCATCGGATAAAGTAGAGTGGGTTTAGTACTTTGCACTTATTCTTTCATGTGAGGCTTAAACAAATGTGAAACTTTACCTTTGTTTTCCAGTAGTCTGGCTAAACATCCCTGCAGGGTCCACCATATCCTGTTGTAGAAAACTAGATTACATAATTTTTTTACAGCCCATTATAATGAATGGCAGTTGTGTCATGTTTAGTTTTTCATAAGAAATACTTGAAATTTCAGATGCTGTTTGTATGTCCTTAGTTTTCCAAAAATAAGTTACAGTTTTCTTTGTCCTTCATTCCAACTGTTTAAAGAATGCAATAATAATCTTCATGATGAGTGTCACATGTTTGTCTTAGAAGTTTATGAATATTGAAAGGTTACTAAATAAAAATCCCATTTTGACACCTTGCCCCAGTTGTACAAAAGATGGATAATGCTATCTCCATCTGGTGGATAGTGGAAATTATAGGTTTTCCTAATACTTATCTGCAGCATAGTGATTTATCTGGTAGATAGCACTATCCAACATCTTAACCACCTTGGGCTAGCCTATAACATGGGGTACTGGTAACAACTGACAAGAGCTGTATTAGACTTGTATAATAAAATTACTATTAGTAGAAAACTAAACTGGCACGTATACATGGTCAGTAGGAAGCTCAGCCAGTGTCCATTTCCTACGGTGGCAGATCCAGGAGACGGGCCTGGGAGATCCGGCCCCCTCCCCCTTATTTTTAGACCAAACTGAGGCCCAAAGGGCCAAAAAAAGTTGTCTAGTATTTTAACATAAAAACCTGATGGCAGTATCGGTGCTAGAAGGCCAGATATTTGCCTAGTAGCAAGAAGGTCGGTCAGCTGACTGTTGCAGTTATGGGATGGGTGTGTATTAGAAGCAAATTAAACAGAGCAATACTGATGTTGGCAAGTGCCAGGATCAGCTTTGGGGCCAGCCAGAAGGCTATGGGGGATGAAAGTTTATTTCTGGCACTTAACATTATAGTAACTTTAGAATAATAAAATGACAGGTGCGGATCCAGGATAAATACTGACTGACTTCCTAAAGGAGCGCCTTGCTTTGATACTGCACATATTAATCAATTTTAATCTCTAAAATTAACACTGCAAAGCAACAACAACGAAAAAAAACAGTGGAGTTTGCCTTATTAATTTTACAGCCTCCTATCTTGATGAAAACTATCCCAGGGGGGAGGGAGGTCTTTCCTATTTTGGCCAGATAAGTTTGCCACGGAACAAGATATGGTTAATGAGCCTATTCCTGGCATTGAGATAGTAGAGCATGAGCGTGAATAAAGGCAGCCAAAAAATAAAAAGGGAGGGAATAAACACAATCTTCCTCTTGCTTTATTTTTTGTCTGTGCCCTTACTGCTTGAAGGCCTAGAACAGGCATGGTTTTAATTCTGTATGGGAAAAAAATGAATCAAGGTCATAAAATAAGGTCTAGCAGTATTCCAAGCTTTCAAATTATGGGGATGTTGCAAAGAGATGTGTGTGAGCAGGAAAAAATGTGAGGCTGGAGCAGGCTAGTGAAATACTGGTGTCTTGTACCCTGTCTGTGCCTTAGATGCAGTAAGCTTTTGTTTCTCAAATCCTCTTAGCATAAATCCATGTTTCGTCACAAAGGAGTCCTTCTTTCACAGCCCATGCTTTAATTATAAATCCATCCTTAGAAATCCATGTTTTATTCCTCAGCTGATTCCTCCTTTTACAAATACAGTACAATCCAATCCACTTCACCCCCTGCTCTCGCCAGCGTCCGCCGGGACGAGGTTGCCGCCTGGGGCCCGTAAGTCCCGCTGGTAACTTTTCGGGCTCGAAAAGCTGTTTTATGGTTTGCCGTGGTTACAGGGAATAATTTTGCAAACGATAAAATGGCAATGAAACTATCAGTTAACAAAGCAGAGTTGACCAGTTTGTGAGTTAGGAACTGTGCCGCCGTTCAACTGTTTTCGATTTCAAAAGTTGCCTTCGGACCCGAAAAGTTATTTCGAGAAACGGGACCCTGGTTCTATTATATCCGTTTCAGGGAGAAATCCTAGCCGTAGAAATGGCAGGAAAGAACAACTCCACTTCTTGTAGCAAAAGCAATGTTGAAAAAAAAAAATCTCGAAGTGGTTGAAGGACTCTTGAAGGTATTTATATCTTTTTTCTTCATAACACGATCGACACGAGTCATCAGGAATACTGCCCTAAACTGCCCAGCGGACGTGTATCACATCGCATGCGTATTTTGGCCCTCTATTAGGCGGTAAATATGGACGGCAGCGAAGGAGGGGAAGTGGTCGCGATGAATATAATTTTTCCTTAACAAACACTGCTTGTTGACCAAACGGACCTCTCATTCTTTTTCAAAAATTTTAACTCTTTAAACTACAGTAATATTTAGTTAGTGTAGACGACATTTTAAATTGATCCCGTCGAAATGAAGAACGTGCGAATATTGCTTGTTGGTGATCGTAAGTAAAAGGAAGATTGTTGCGGTTTTGTTTTACTGGTGATCATCGTTAACCTTGAGGCAGCGAAGCATGTTAATTTGTTTCAATGCTTTTATGTGCAGCCCAAGTTGGAAAAACATCGCTTATTTTGTCGCTTGTTAGTGAGGAATTTCCTGAAGAGGTGAGATTTATGAACAGGCCAGGATCAGTGATGTTAAGTCTTGTTAGTAATTTTGTTTGTGTAAGCTCAAGTGTCCTTTTAAGTTTGATCATTCAGTTCAATCTGTCGGTCAACTTAAAGCCTTTCATTTTTTTTTAAGAGCACTCGGAAAGAATTATTCACCCAGGTGGCTATAATATATTTTAGTCATACATTAATTTTATATTATTGTAGTAGCTGTGCTGCAGGCCCCAGTTGTTTGAAAGGCGGATTACACCATCCACTGGATAAATCTCTCTACTGTAGGTAATCCTTTTGGTTTTCCTAATATTCATCCACAGGATAGTGATTTATCCAGTGGAAAATAGTGCCACCTAACGTTTGAACAACTGGCGCCAGATTACTACACTACAATCCGGCCACCTTGCAAACATGCATCAATATGATCATTGAAAAATGTTGCCTAACACAGTGGACGGGGTGGCAGACTGAGGCATTCTGACTCAGATCTCCCATCACTGTGCTTAGTAGCCTACTGTTTGAGTGTGAGGCTGGGGTTGTCCTTTTTTTTGATACTTGTAAGTGTTCTCTTGCCTTTCTCTCCTGCTCCCTCACTGACTGCGTGGACTTCCGACAATTTAGGACGTTTAGCTCAGTTGGATAGGCACTTGTTTTGTGGGAGGTTACAGATTTAAACTCCAGCGGGACCAAGCCTTTTAAAATAATTGAGGGAAGTGTGCTGTGTTTGTTCTGATATCAACAAATGGGTTAGACTGCGAGAAGTATCTTATTTTTCTTTTGACACAGTAGTTAGGGGGCATGCCCAAGGGTAGAGCAGCAAATCTGCGAGGGACAAGGGCACAAGCCCAAGTAGAGAAAGATAAGAAAAGAGTCCTTTTTTCCTCTTTCTGCCCCCATTTTTCCTTTGATTTGAATAAAATAATGAGTCCATTATTATTAATATTGACCGAGCTTGGCTGGTCAAGATGGCTGGATATTGGCCCCATCCTTTCTTGCTGTTTTTATGGACCTATCGGTAGACTTCATCTCAGTCAATAACAATGCAGCAAAGTACTTGGCCATAATGTTGATTCATTTTGACTTAAAGCCTGGTTAAAAATGCATTAATCTAAGTTGCTGAGTGAGCTCGTTGACCCTATAATGTTAATTTATTACTTATTCTTAGGTTCCTTATAAAGCAGAAGAAATAACAATTCCAGCAGATGTGACTCCAGAAAAGGTCCCCACACATATTGTGGATTATTCTGGTTAGTATGTTGCTGAGAAACATTACAAATATTATGAAATCTGATAAAAAAATGTAAAAAAAATATGTTATCCACTGTCCCTTTATCACAAAAGAGTTGATTTTAATTCTTAAATATAAAACATTCCAGCAGAATCGTGATTTTTCAAAACCCATTGTTTTGGTTAACCTTCTGTCTCATCAAACCAAAACTGCAAGTGAATTTTTCCATCCTCAATGTGCTGAGATACAGTTTAATAGTATCAACAAAGGTCCCTGAATTCCTCTTATGGTCAGGTTTTTTAACTTAAGTATAGTTGCCAGGAATTAGAAATGAAAGTTGCAGTATTTTTGCACTTGCTTAAATGCTGCGAATTCAACCTTCCCTTCCTTGCTCCACTTCCACTGTTTTATCAGAGTCAGCTGTCTGCTTTTTACCTGGCTGTGCCATCCAGGGGCTCATGCATGGCTGAGAACGTTCTAGTATTTTCCAGATGTGGCCAAAAGTGGAAGCTTATGCCTGGATGTCTTAGAAATCCGTTATAAGGGTGTAGAAGCTACTAGTTAACCCTCTCTACCTGAAGCGGGGCCAACTGTCTCGTGTTTGTATGTACTGTACAGAACCTGGTTTGTATTCACTTGTCCAAGTGAAATCCACTTGCACTTGGGCTGTACATTCCCTAATCCAAGCAGAGGAAGGTCAGTGCTGACCTCAAACTCAGTTAATAAGAGGTGTACATTAGCAAATTGCATGACACAGTTACATTCGTTTCAACTGAGATAAATAGCATTGATAGGGTTCAAGTTTGGCAATTTCATTTTCTCACAGTGCTAAACATGATTTCTTTAACCAGCGTTGGAGCAGTCTGAAGATATGCTTGTGGAGGAGATCATCAAAGTAAGCTTTTATTGCAAAGTCATTGTACTGAAACAAGTTTGAGAGAAGGCAAGATAAAGCAGATCCTGTGTTCCAGTTTTCTACGCAAGGAGGCAAGATCAGCCTGTCTTGCCTGCTTGGGATTTCATGTGTTGGTCATGCAAGAAAAATCTCTCTTGTTCATTTGATTATAGTAAATCCTTAAATTGACCAATCCATTTTAACAACATGGGGGTATATTGGCCCCGGTCTTCTCCCTTTTTGTCTTTAAACAGAGTGAAACTTCCCCAAATGAGTTTGATCCTTGGGTAATGTTCACTCATCAATGTTCGACTGTTGTTTTTAACAGTGGAGCTCCAGGCATGTGTAAGGCGCACATGAGTGGAGCCCCACAACCAAGAAAATTGGGTTATCTATACATCTGAGAAATTTTGGTAGTCATGTGACCATCCATCTGCTGGACTGTCTATCCATACCACAGGGAAACCAATAAGAAATCTCACACCTTTTAGCTAATGTGGCAGCCTGCAACCTGATATTGCACCTATTTTGCGGTCAATTGAAACTGTCGAAACAGGGTATCCGCTGTCCAGTATCACATGACTGTATCGTGGGCTCAGGTGTCGACCCATGGAGGTAACATTTTTTTGAAGTTATCCGCTGACAAGTTGCTAGTTTTTCAACTGAGCGCAGGCCCAACTCCAAGTGGATTTCTTTACAATGGTTACAAGTTTATTGTTTTTTAGTCAATAGAAAAAATTTGTTGATGGGAGCTTTGACTCAAGCCTTGGCTACATCTATGTAATTGTTTAATAGGGAAGCATCACCACTTTTTTACTTTTTTTTTCTTCTTACCATTATGAACTGCATTGGCTTCTAAGTAAAATCAGTTCTTAGGTTTAACCAAAATGTCCCTTGTCTCCTTCAAATACTTAGGGATCGACACAAAGGAGGCCAAATACTGGTTAAACCCGAGAATTGATTTTACCTCCGTGAAACATTTATTTCATTTCTACTTATACTAAGTACAGTCAACTCTCTCATGGCGACAACTTCTCGTAAGCGACCACCTCCTGTATAAGCAACCAGTTTGTTGTGCACCAAGGGTGGTTGCTTATGAGAGTGCTAACTGTACATGTGAGCATTGAATAAGCCACCTTTAATTATGCAAAAAACATGATATGACATTGCTGCATTGTATGATAACTAATGAGCTAAAACGTTACTCTCCTCAGGCCAATGTAGTGTGTGTTGTGTATGATGTAACATCAGAAGATTCTCTTGAAAGAGTAAGTGTTGTTTTTTTCATTCAGTATAAAGAGGAAAGAGCACCTACCATATTGTTTTAGTCAATGAAGTGCCCAGCCTTGAATTAGGACCCACCTCCAATAAGCAGCCATCCTGTAGGGAGGAAAGTTTCCTAGGTGCACAGCCTTGACTAGGAGCCTACCCCCACCTACCACCCTTCCCTTAAAAAAAAACGGAAGTGGACAAGAAGAGTCCTTATTTTTTTCTTTACTACTTACTATAAGATAGAAATTGACTTAGTACTGTTAAGAGACTTCCCTTAAGACTGAGTTCCTTGTTTTAAATAAACTTTCAATGAACAGTTAAAATTCTGCTCTAGCACATCTTCACGTTTTGTTATTATTTACTGTTTTGTTGGAAAATTAACTTCTTGTTGAAAATGATGAAATTAAATAAGCATCCACCTCAAATAAGTGCCCACTCTCAAGGCCCAAAAATTATTAATTTTTAATAAGCACCCTGCAGGGCACCTAATCAAATAAATACGGTAATCATGTTCAAACAATCATGAAAATTAATTTGAATCTGTCACTTGAGACCATATCTTTGGCATCATGTGACACTGTAGTTGAAGCACTTTGTTTGACCTTGAAAAGTTACAGAATATCTCTTTACAGTTGGTTTGGTTCAATTTTATCCTGGGTTGACTTAAAGTTTTCTTCATTTTTTGGTGTGATACTTGATGACAAAAATGAAGAACAACATGTGGACAATTGAAATTTATTACACTGCATTATGTTTGTCCAGGCTGGCATAATTATTCAGGATTAGACGTAGACCCATGGAATTACTGAATAAAGCAAAGTTACAGAACAAGTAAATCTTCAAAAATTATAAAACAACAGCAGTGGAGTCAATCCTTCAGAGCATTACAAGTAGTTTTTTGCAAGGATGTGCAGAATTTGGCCTCAAGTGGCTCTTGATTTTATTTTTTAGCTATTGACTTTATTTTCTCTTTGATACACAAACATAATTTATACTCATGGAAACTGGAACAAGTATGTAAGGGCACTTACCAAAACTCGGAAATAACTGGCTGGACTGGTCTTTTTGAAAATACAATATTAGTCGTTTCAGTCTCGAAATTTTCCCTGCAACTCACCACTGCTGAGCATACCATAAATAGACTGATCTGGCTTCAGTTGATAGTCAGATTAATAAAGGAATTCTTTTTACAACTTGACGGGCTGGCCAGTTCTAGCTAGCAAAATTAATGGAAAGTGCCGTCATTCTTTTATTTTTCAGCTAAAGTTTTCTGTGCAGAAATTTTCTCAGCTTTTATTTCTGGAAGTGATTCAAATGTGATCTGGGCTCAGTTGTTCAAAGAATAAAAAGTGCTATCCATCGGATAAGAGCAACTATCCAGCGGATAAGTATAAGGGAAACCAATAAATTATAAATTTCTCTATCCACCAGATTGAGATTTATCCAGTGGATAGCATTATACACCTTTCAAACAGCTGGTCCCTGAACTATGATAACTTACTATCTAGACTAAAATGATCCATGGTTGTGTCTTAAACAGATAACATCATATTGGTTACCACTCATAAGACAAGCTTGTGAAGAAGACAGCACAGCCAAACCTGTCATTATTGTTGGCAACAAAGTATGTGTGATTTTCTTTAGTTTGCTTTTGGTACAAAAAGAGGTTAAGTACCATTTCTTTCTCATGAGAGATTATCATCATTGCTCAAGTCGTTGTGTTGTTGATTTTGTACTTTGCTAGTGAAGCGGGAGTAGCATGTCCTCTCCTGAGTGTGGAATGATCAATAGTTTTTATGAGAAGAGGATGTGCTGTTTTTTTAGAGTGTATGTTTTCCTAAACTAAGGTAAAATTCTCACAGCCAGGACAATAGTAGGTGACTATAAAGTACAAATGAGTGTAGCTCTGCAAGGCATGTGAGTGTTTCATCTACATTTGATGATGTGATTGGTTAGACTAATGCTATAAATCAAAGCTTAAATGTTTTAACTGTAATTTTTTTAATTTGCATTTTAGTCAGACCTCTTTGATGGAAGCACAATGGATGTAAGTTATTACACTCTGTCTTTGGTGTTGTTAATTTCATCATTCACATGACCCCCATTACAACCAGTTCTGGCGGCATAACTGGGCCTTATCTCCAATGAGGACATCATTTCACTTACATTGTACATTCAAACTGTTTTGTTTGTTTGTTTGTTTGAGAGGCACTTTTTTACAGACATCAATGTCCATATTTTGTAGATTGAATAAGGAAATATAGAAAAGATTCTTGGAGATATTAGCATTTTATTGCCACAGTGATTTTGTTACCTGTGCGTCCTGCGTCCTTGATGCATAAAAATCCCGAAGATGCAAAGACCATAAGATTGATTTGAAGATTTTTTGGTAGAATATCATGTTCGTGTGATTTCTGTTGCTGTTGTGTAAAGATTTGGTCTTTTTTATGCTTTAAATATATAGAAGGACCTATATTTTAATTTCAGTAAACTGTAATTAAGAGTTTTGGCACCTGTCTCCAGATTAATTATCTGGTTACATTAAGGCCCAAGCATTTTCAATTTAGGCCTCCTTGTTTTTTTTGAACTGGTACTCATTGGTTATGGGACTCATGATTTTTCTCAAGATGAGTCCCAAGACTCTCCTTAACTACCGTAAACTGCCGCTTATAAGCCCAGGGCTTATACAAGTTCGTAAGGGGTTTTGGGGGGGCTTATATCCGGATGGGCTTATAAGCAGACGAAAAAAAATGTTTCGAAATGAGCAACAGCACTGTTGATCGACGTATGATTTAAATTTATTACTCTTACAATTGAAGCCTTAAAAAGGCAGCAATGAATTGAATTCAGTTAAATTTCAAAACAAATCAAAACTGTAACAACACGAACGTAACTGGAACCCAACAAAACGGAAGTTCGGAGCTCATCCCTGCCTTCATTGTTATTGTTCTGTAATCTTTTCGGACAGTTATTTGTTGAAGTAATAGTGTTCTCTGAGAGTGCTTAATATTAATAAAACAAGAAAAACTGGAGGGGGGCTTATATCCGGATGGGCTTATAATCAGATGTATTTTTTTGTTTGCATGTAGGTGGGCCTATAACCAGGGGGGCTTATAAGCGGATGGGATTATAAGCGGCAGTTTACGGTATTTGTAACAAAATATTTGAGTATAAATAAAGATTATTGATTGATTGATATAGATTCACCAATACTACTTGATGTTGTGGCAACATCAGTATGTTAGTTTGGTGCCTTCACCAGTTTTATTTCAAGTGGAGTAAAGCTTATTAGCAGGTTTTTTTTCATGGCTGTAGGATTTCTTAAGATAAAAAGACATTCATAATAAATGTGTTAAGTGTACTGCAGTGATTTGTGCTTACAGAGTTGTTTGGAATACTAGTGGTGTTTAGAGTCGCTGTTAAAGTAGTTTCTGGGTAAAGACATCTTGTGACTTCTGATAAAATGGTTGACTCTCCATAGAAAATTGCATTGTGTCCCTTGTAATATAAGGGGAACTGTAGAAGACTAGAGTCACTTGGTTTTTTTGTTGACTTATACGTGTGTTCCATCCTGGTAGACTGTTTTGCCCATAATGAATGACTACACTGAAGTGGAAACTTGTGTTGAGGTGAACATTTATTCTTGTTTTTGCCCTTTTTTTACATTTAACTGTCTTAATTATTATTTTGTCAATTATGTTTTAAATGTTCTGCAAGATTTCTATTAATGGTTTTGCCTCCACAGTGCTCTGCAAAGGAACTTAAAAATATATCTGAGATGTTTTACTATGCACAAAAAGCAGTACTGCATCCAACAGCTCCTCTTTTCTCTGCTGAAACAAAAGAGGTTTGTGAAATAAGAATTAAATCACACATGATTGTGAATGATTAGGATAAGAATTATAAAAAAATTGTGAATGGGAACTTTTATTGTCCCCTGGTAGAGATTTGAGCCCAGTATTGATGTATTTAGAGCCTAATACTTAAGCCATCTTTACAGACGCCTTTATAAACTTGTCACTTAGCTTTTCCTCATTCAAGTCGACTTTTGTTATGTTCAATAATAGTGACAGGATGCGTACATGTTTGTACTGGGGTGCTTGTACCATTTACACACAAATATTATTATTGCAACCTTGATCAGCGCCCAAAAGAACACCATCCCTTAACATTTCCTTTGGTAGAACTTCAGCTGTATTAGCTTTATTGAGCAGCTTGCATTAGATTGATTTCTTCTTATTATTTTTATATTTTAGTTAAAGCCATTATGCCAGGCTGCACTGTCAAGAATATTTAAGGTATCATTGCTAATGGGAATTCATATGAAATAGAACCTGCAGTGAGATTTCTGTCAATTTTGATCAATACAATAGATATTAATCAAATCAGATTTACCGATTTTTATTGATTTATTAATTCAACTAAGCCCCTCCGCCTCCACAAAAGAAAAAAACTATTACCCCTCTCCCTGACAATGTTGTTCTTCGTTGATGTCAGTGAAATGTAATAATATTGGATTGTGTATTTGAGAATTAACATTTGATGCAAAGGACATTATCAAACAAGGTCTTAAGCTCAAATAAGGCTTCACTTTAGAAAGCGGCATGTACACTGTACTCTACGACATTGAAACCAGGGGGAAGGGGATACTACGGCAAGATATTGATTAGCTAAGTGCAAAGAAAGGGATGTGTACATACTGCAGCTTGATAACAATGACCTGGACATCTGGGAATGACCATCTATTGTATGGCAACAGAAGAAACTGCCAGGAAGGTTGATGATTTTTACATACGTGATTTGAGCTCAGCAAAGTGGAAATCATTGGGAAAATTTTTAACACTATGTTTTCTTAACCCCCAAAAACCAAAGACCAAAATTTGGTTACTTATGTGCACATTGGAAAATTAGCAATTTAAATTTATGTAATTTTTGCTGAGGCCTTCATTTATCTGTGTCAAATCTATATTTGATTGACTGTCACCAATCATTTTACCAAGAGTATTAAAGTGGTCTGATGCTTTTCCCAGATATCAGATTCTGATAATGATGGTTTATTGAACGACAAAGAACTGAATGACTTCCAGGTGAGATGGTACAGACTACTACTACTTGTCATAAATATTGTTATTATATTGTTTTTATTTCTTGAATAGTGTTAATTCCCTTTGTCTCCACCGCTTTGGACTTGCCTGTATTTATCACAAGTTGCCCTTGGCATTATACCTAACTGTAACAAGGAGGTTTGGCGGTAACTAAATTGAGCAGCTGCTCTCTGAAACTCTGGGTTAGTTAACTAAAGGCCCCTACCAAAGTCAGAACTAGCCAGTTGGACAGGCCTCTTTGAAAACTAAAAGCGGTTTTTCGTCTTTTCTTTCTCACTAAACACCCATCCCTGCTGGCATACTGTTAAAGGAACAGACTGATCTTGCTGGCTAGTTCTGATATATTTACAGTGCCTTAAATTTAATTTTGCTATCTGGTGAAAGAAATTTTTTATTTCCATTTTACCAAAAGTGCCAACTCGCTCCACCTCTTTGCTTCACATTAGTGAAATAAATGCGGGTTGTGATTTACTTTCAGAATCGATGCTTTAATACTCCACTTGAAGGGCAAGGATTGCAGGATGTTAAGAATGTGGTCAGAAAGAATGTGGATGATGGCCTAAGCAATGGTGCTCTCACACTTAAAGGTTACTTGGTCTCAGTATACAGTCTGTGGAACCTTGATATAATGAAGGGCCAAGGGACTGGAAAAACTGAGTCATCCCCAGTCGTCTCTCAGTCTCCTATTAATAGTAATAATGAGAGAAGCGCGGTCAAGGGAAGTGCTAGGGATGATGGGAAGGAGGAAAGAGAGAAGACGACTGGTAGATCCTGTTTCCAAAATGGCTGAAAAAAGTAATGGTGGATTCATTGGCAATGAAAATGAAAATCTTACTGATAGACTGTTACATCAAGCCTACATAGGCCATAAGCTGCCTTGTCTGCATATATCTTGTAGGAGTGCTGCTGGTAGAATCAAGGTCTGCCATTCATCTCTTCTTTCTCCCTTCTACCTTGCCTTGATCCCCCTTTGCACCAGAAGCGGTAAGGTCTCTTACAACCTTTCCAAGGCTGCTTACAAATTATACAAGATAACAGATTGGGGATGAGGTGGCTGGTCCAAAGAATATAAATTTTAATTAGCAGTTATTGAAAGAGGCTGAGTAGGATGTGAAGAATTACGCAGATCGAGGAGGATGTCATTCGGGTCAGCCTTGGTGGATAACATCCTCCAAGATCTGCATAATTTTTCACATCATACAAAAGCCAAATTCAATAACTGTTTTGTCATTCATTCAAAATAATTATTTTAAAGTTCTTAACAAGCTTACCTCCTTGTAGACTTTCTTCTAAACTTTGGCCTATTTTTTGGCACAGTTTCAGAAAAAAAACACAGTTTAATAATTAACCTGTGTTTCTATTTCCAGTGCTGCCTCGTTTCCTATCAAATGTAACATTGATCAACCTCGTTTGCTATAAAATAAAAAACAAATCGATTGTATATTGCTCATGTCTTCCAAATTTGGTCAGTACTAGTTGGTTATGAAGAATTAGCTGGGGAATTGGAGCTAATCAGAAACGGTGAAATATTTTGAACGAATAATAATGTTCATTATTCAGGGAACTTTGTTAAATAGAGGTTTCTTATATTATTGAGGTTCCACTGTACTGTGCTTTTAAATGTGTTTTTGGTTGAAGCAGTGTTTCTTGTGTTTGCTCACAGTGTGGGTATTAGTCTGTTGTTTTTGGTTTTTGCATTTTAAGACCGTGCTAACAACATGGTACTGGAAACGATCGTTACTGTGAAATCCTAGGGCTTGGTTGTGATACAGCTGTTTCAAAATTGGTTTGTTTGTTTGTATATTTTACTAAATTCATTTTTTTCCTCTCATGTTTTTTTATTTCTTATATCAGGTTTCCTTTTCCTCCACACTCTATTTATCCATAAAGGGCGTCATGAGACAACATGGACCGTACTGAGGAAGTTTGGATATGGAGATGAACTAAAGCTCCGGCCAGAATATCTGTGTCCAGCGTAGGTTGACTGCTTTTTACTTTATTATATTTTTAACAACAGTAAATATTAAACTCATCACCAATAGACGAGCTGGGGTCCTTTTGCCTACAAGGTTGGCAGAAAGATGGAGGTATTCGTGGCAGGCCTGTAAGCAGCCTGCACAAGGCACCATCGAACTGAAGAGTTCAGTGGAATACTTACCAACCAATACTTGCCTAGCCCTGGAATAAAGAGGGAGGGTTGGTTGGGAAAAACAAAGCAAGAAAATGTCAAGCAAGCAACAAGGCTATAGTGGAGACACTTAGTGAAGAACTGCAAACAAGCAACTGCTTGTAGAAGATCACAAGGTGCCCCTGCTAAAGGTATCAGGCTGCCCCAAAAACTGCTGAGCAGCAAGTTGTTTTAAGGTTTACATTGTACTTTGCCTAAACTACATTTAGCCACGAGAATGATATGTGTGGAGAGAAGAACTCGGAAAATCCTGTGTTCCACAGAGGAATTGAACCCATGACCTTCCAGATACTAGTCACATGCCCTAACTACTGAGCTAGTGAGAACTCTATTGATGAGATCTTTTGTGGGCTGCTATAACAACTGCAAATTGTGCTGTGACATTTTGTATAGCAATTTTTCTTGTATTGCTCAGAGAGAACTGAAGTGTGACTGGGGGATGCCATTGAATTTGTGTTTTTATTTTACAAGATGCCACTATGAATAATATCTTTCATTGTTAGTACTAGCTTTAGTTTGGTGTTTTGCACTTTCCAAATCTCAATTTCATGGAAATTTCATTTGCTTGTAAAGAGACAAGGAGATGGTTGTGCGACCAGGTTGTACTAAGCACTCCTGATACATGGTATTTTGGTTAATTTCAAAGGATTGATATTGGCACAGATCAGACAGTGGAATTATCAGATGCAGGATATCAGTTTCTTATTGACCTCTTTCACAGGCATGATAAGGTTTGTTATCAGTTAAACAATGTGATTGTTATTTAAAAAATTAATTTGCTGAGAGTTTAGTATCCTTTGGTACTTAAGTCTGAAAGATAAAAATAATATTGAAATTATGTATTGATTGAATAGGAATTGTATGAGTCATTGAAAGCCTGGAAAGTCATGAAATTTAATTGTGGGTCAGAGAAAGACATGAAAATGGAATTTTGAAAGTATTTTTGCTGGATTAAGTACTAAAGATGTCAAAGCATGGACAAAATAAGATCGACACAAGTGAAGTGACGTTTGTTGATCTGGGTTAGGTAAAAAAATCACCAAAAACAAGAATAGTATTTGAAATTTGGAAAAATTTCATGGAAAAAGGCATGGAGATTCATGGGATTTGAAGAACTCAAAATTCAATTAGTAATTTGGTATTTTGTTCGTTTGTTGCCATAGTTATGTATTAATAATTTTATCATTCATCATTGCCTTTTCGATGAATAAGTATACAGCAAATGTATTATTTAAGCTGAATTTCAGTTGCCACTGTGAAAACATTTTCTTTCTTTTACTGATGAAAACAAAAGAAAAGCATAAGCAACAGTGGAAACTTCTGATTCCTCTACTGCAGTTTCTAAATGAAGAAGAATTTTACCTCTGCTATGATGATTCATCATCCCAATTTAATAAGTTCCAGCCTATATACAACAAAACCCCAGAATCAAAAGTGAAGTTATTTTTCCCAGTTTATAGTTATGTGTAACCTGCGTAGCAAGCGTTTATGTGCGGTTTCGGATCAAAGAACGGGGAGTTAAAGACCGCGCAAAAAATGGGGTGAGTAAAAGAACACTCCTCGTCATTCCTAGTCTTTCTTTGCTCCAAAACCACATAGAAACACTTGCTACACAGGATAAGTTTTGTGTATAATAACAGGACACACATACCATGCACCTCATCACAATAATGGTTTTTCCAGTTCCCGGCCACTTTGTTATATCTGGTTTGTATAGGTAATAGCATGATTTGTAGTGATATTTGACATAAATACCACGAGTGATATTTCGAAATTGTTATACGAAATTTCACGAGCCCTTAGGCCAGTGAAATTTGAAACAATTTTGAAATATCATCACGAGTGGTATTATTGTTTATACCACTACCCGCAAAAGGTTTGTAATTTTCACATGTAGGTATTTCAAATTAAGCTGAAATACCACTGCTCTAAGCCAATCAAATTGCAGAAATTTGTCATGTAGTGGTATAATCACTGTAATCTATCTCCTCCATCTTATAGGATGAGGATGAAGCACTGAAGCCAGAAGAACTTCAGGTAAGCAGTCAACTACAAAAAACAGCTCATTATTACAAAATTTGTAATAATGAGCTGTTTTTTTGTAATTTAATATTAGCATTGTTTTTATTGTAATACTTATTGGGGAGCAAGGGAAGTGCAGTGTAGAGAGCACCGGCCTCCCACCAATTGGACCCGAGTTCACATCCCGGCATCTGCGCCACATCTGGGTTGAGTTTGTTGTTGGTTCTCTCCTTTGCTCCTAGAGGTTTTTCTCCAGGTACTCTGGTTTTCCCCTCTCCGCAAAAACCAACATTTTCGTATTCCAATTCGACCAGAAATCAAGTAGATGAAGAACCTTTAAGTGGATATGCTACCTACAGCATGCAAAGAAGGTGGTGTCCGATAGCCCGGGGCTAGTGGATTTTGCTATCGGGCTAGTGAATTCTGTTTTTAACTTGCCCGATGGGCAAGTGATATTTTTTTAGAAATTTGAATAACAGAAGAACTGTAATCAATCCTGCTCATCAAATTTTTTTCGGGCTAATTGAAATGACTTTTGGGCTAGTACATGCTAGCTACAGCTTGCCCGAATGGCAACTGTAAAACTGACTTTCTTTGCACCCTGTTTAAATTGTTATTTAATTTTTTTATTTATATTTGTGATTTAAAGGAGTTGTTCAGTATTTTTCCCACGATGCCCTGGGGTGAAGATGTTGTCAACTCTGTTGAAACTAATGCCAATGGTTGGATCACTCTCCAGGGATTTTTAGCTCAATGGACGTAAGTAACCACTCAAGTAAGTGCGCATGCATATAAAAGCAACAGGAAAATCAAGACTATTTCAAATTCTTCACTTGACTTAGAAACTCTAGGAAGAATGGTTACGAGCTTTGGGCTATTTCACACTTGTCTTGTACAGCATTCATCGTATAGTCATGCCAGATCAAGGGAACCCTTGACAGGTGGTAGTTAGGAAATCATTATTTGAAAAGTTAATTATTTGTCGATGTCAATATTACATTCATTTCTTTTTTCTTTCTTACAGTGTACGTAATGAGTAGTGAACGAACACAAGCAAGCTCGGTAGAATTTCTGCCAGCTTAGCTTTTTTCCAAACTCGAGATGAATGTTTTCATAGGAATTTTCTCAGTGAATTACAATTGAACCTCTATTAAGCGGCAACCATCGGTGCACTCTCAAGTGGCCGCCTAATAGAGGTGGGTCGCTCAAAACAGTTCGTCATAAATCAGCATAATCTTTAGCAGAAACAACACTTCATTTTGAAACAAACGACGGAAGTAGCATTACTGGTCCACAATCGGTCGTCACCTTCTATCTCAGACTGTATTTTCCTTCATCATATTCTAAAAAAGAACCCAAACTATGTGTATCAAACGCTTGATGGACGCTTAATAGAGGTGACAACAATGGGAGAACTCTCGTTGGCATGGCCAAAAGATGGCCTCGGCCTCTTAATAGAGGTTTAATTTCCCATACTATAGGGTGTGTGTCGCCGCTTAATGGAGGTTCGACTGTATTTTTTCAATATGACCGAATGCAGGGAAGTTGAAGTCTACCATTCACTACTTATTATGAATGCAAGAGAGCAGGCAGGTCTTCGAATCTTAAGGTCCTTATTCAAATCAATCAATAATCAATAATTTATTTAACAACGTTATCGTCTAAGAGCACAAGCGCTCGCTCCAAATACGAACGTGCAGCATAGGACAGGATAGGATAGGACAGGATAGAACGAAGGACTTTTTCGAAAGTCTAAACGTCTGAAGACGAAAGTGAAGAAGACTAATGTCGCGAAAGATTTATACTCTTTATAATTAAATGTTTAACAATGTTGAAATGTAATGGTGTTATCTTGTAACAGGAGACGATTGCGTCTGACGACGAATGAACTTGTTTTTCAATATTTTTACTAGGCTAACAACGTTTTTAGACCACACGAGGATGTTGGCGTATCTGGCCTCTTTTGGTTACACTCATCAGGAAAATGAACCTTCTCTGCAAACTGCAATAACAGGTATTGGTGATGATAAAAAACAAACTATTGAAACTTTTCAAGTTTGTCCCAAGTAGCTGTAAAATGGTGTCAACGCCTTGTAAACCTTTGAGGACAAAAACAATTACTTATTGTATAGCTCAAGTCTTATTTTCAGGCAAAATGAATTCGTACTTTTTATTGTCAAGGAAAACTATTTATACTTTTCCATCTCCACGTATTATCAGGTTTAAAAACTCTTGGCTTCGCCTCGAGTTTTTAAACCTGATAATATACGATTGCGAGTTTTTTGAACAGCTTAAAATCTCTGATATAGACCATCTCATTCTTGCACAAATATTTAGAATTGTTGTTTTTTTTTTTTTTTTTTTTTTTTTTTTTTTGGGGGGGGGGGGTTTAACATTACTGGACGTAAAGTTTAGAAGTGTTTTTTCTTTATGAATTGTCAATGAGTTTTTGAAAGACTTGCTATTGCACGCCTTTAATTTGATCCTAAAGACGACTTTCTGTAAATGATCAGATAACTCCAGCGAGGTCAGTCACAGTAAAATAGAACCTCAAGTAGCTTTACCCCTCGTCAACGCACACGCACACGGTATTGGCTCTGACTTAGGGCTTAGTTTTGTCTACCTGTGCATGGACGTTGCGATTTCTAAAGTTTGGCCTTGCTGTGCTCATTTGTAAACCCCCGTAATATGCAACAGATAACCGACAATTCGATAGTACTTACAGTAAATAACAAAGCGTTGTTTGCAGTCAACTAACAACAGTGATGATTGTTAAGCATATTGTTGTGAGCCGACTAACTTGTGTGATTTCTCTTTTCTTTTCCTTTGCTTCTTTTCCAGTCTGTTCTCCTCTGCCTTTCACCTTGGTTTCATCCGTGTCTCGTCTCATTCAGATGAGAAAAAAGCTTCGATTCTTACCTTATAATAATCCTCACTGGAACCAAGTAAACACTAAACTGGGTACTTTGCCCTTATGCATTCATTTTACTCGCACTAAAGTAACTTAAAAAAATTTAAGGACATTCTTCAACACTAAGAAAAAACCTGTTAAACTAGTTCGAAGAAATGATAAGCCTTCGGCCCTCTAGAGAGAGACAACAAAAAGTGTAACATATAAGACTACTTTAAAAAAAGTGCTATTGATAAAAATTCAATTGTACTGAACAAAGGTTGATTTCCACAGTGGACAAAGTGTTTCCTTTTTCTTTTAGTTCTTGTTTGTTCTTGTTTTTTTTTTTTAATTTTCTTCATGTCTGTTTTATTGCTATTGTTCGTTTACGTTATTTTTCTGTTCTTTTTAACACAATCTTTATTTTACATGCGTCCGTGAGCTCGATTTCCGTCGTCTCCCGAGTCCGGACTCCAGCTTTGATCCTGGCTCCCGAGCAACGGCTGGTTATCGAGCCTAATGCGTCTATTCATTCACTTTGTTATCTCCTGTTTGCTTTTTTCATTCATTTTACACGTGTCTTTTTATTCTTCATCTTTACTTGCTGTTTCTCTCTTTGTTTGCCCCTTTTCTTTTTATTCCAGTTAATTTGTTTCAAACGTATGGTCCTCAGTGGAATCCTGGTTCTTCGAACCTCCTGATGATTTCGAGCCCAAGCCGATTCCCTTCCCACACTATTTTTAGGTGTTTTCCACTTGATTTTGCGTACATTTCTTTTCGTTGTGTTTTCATGAAATTCATAACAAATTGTCAGACTTTTCTTTCTCTTTTTTTAAAAATGTTCTTTTTTAACAACAATTGACGGAACACACTCTCCGCTAGAAAGTTTATTATCTTGGTAAACCACATCTTAATAAATGTTAAGTCTGCAAAGGGAACCGTTAGAATGCGATCAAAGACATCCAGGAAATACTTTGCCTAGTCCCTGTACGACGTTTTCCCAGGCCTCTTCGGTGACGAGGCGAACGGGCGGGTAACGCCCTCACATCTTCGCTTGGACCACGTGAACCGAAACGAATTGGACGCGCGAAATAATGAAGCCTAGAGACTAGGCAAGGAAATACTCTTTGTGAATAAACATGTTAAGAAATACTGTAATAACAATGAAAAAAAATCGTTCGACGTCAAGTGCCTGCTTTCTTTGCCTCCAGTTACGCGCAGTAAAGCTGTTGATTTGCAGAAGAAACAGACGTCACGTTCAGTGCTTCAGTGTTATGTTTTTGGAGCGCCTGGAGTTGGAAAGGTACTTACAATCTCTTCTTAGTTCAAATGTTTTATCTGAACAAGCATGACATTAGCTAAAAAGGCTGCGCTGTCAAATCAAAGCTAAAAATTCTCTCAAAATCACATCAATACGTAGATCCCACAGAAGCACAAAATACAAAAGAGTGCTTATTTTTCAAATTCTCACCAACATTTATAGCGCGGTCTGTCAAGCCAATGAATGGCGTCGAAGTTAACCGCTGAATGCGAGGTGCCTTGCGTGAGCCAACCTAAATCCTTTTGACAACACTTCCGAAAAACCCTGAAGAAAAGAAATAAATACTATTCTCACTGCATAACTGACTAGCTCATAGCAGCAATTTTGTTTAATCTGTGTGCACTCCCTCGAAATCACGCATGCTTGTAGCGCTTGTAATGCTTTGCGCCCCTCGGCTAAGAATTTGGCCGTGCTGCCTAAAACGTGGTCATTTTTAATGATCGGTACTCCGGGACCATGGTCAGTTTTTGCGACCCGCACACCTCCCCTGGTGGCGGTTGACAACTTCAGTGTTTATCCTCGTTGCATGCCTATTGCCTTAGCAGTCGCGGACTTTTCCTGTAACTTAATATTGCGCAGTGAGGTAATGAGTATGCAGTGAGGATATGCCTCTAGAGAAAAAACTGCCGGTAGAAAGTTAAAAGGAACCAGACGTAAGCTCTGGACTGAAATATTACTTTAGTAAAAGGCGGACGTACCTTTAATTAATCTATCTACAGATCAGTGTTTTTACTTTCAGATTTTCTTTCGTTCTCTCTTCATCTGGTTCTCTTGTTTATAAATTTAATTTGCCAAAAAAATGCCCTTTCTTCCCAACAGACTGCCTTTCTTCAAGCCTTCTTAGGACGAACTCTGGAGGTAAGTAGAATATAATGGTGATAGGCTTTTGTACATTATGCGTTTGTTCCCCCCACTAAACTGCCTAACCGTAATAGTTCATTTTTCTCACTAAAATGCTCGGTCACCCCCAAAATGTCATTAAAATGCTTGAATGATGCTCATCAATGAGAGGCCATTTTGTTAATTCTAAACATTTTAAGAGAGGTAAAATTGATTTCTTTTTCTGAATTTCAAGGTTAAGTCTCTATTTTCTCGTAAAAAATTTTTTAATTCTTATTTTCTCCAAGAAAAAAATAATTTTCCGGGAAAATGCCACTAAAATGCTTGAATATCAATGCTTAATGCTTTATGAGCTGTTTAAATGGAGGGAGAAAAATCCTAGAAGGCGAATCATCCTAAAGCCATCTGTTTTCTGTGTTCAGTTTACATGAAAAGGGTTGCACTTTTCCCTAGCGCTAGGATCTTCCTAGTACTAGGATCTCCCTAGCTGACAGGTGGGAAGATCCTAGTACTAGGATGATCCTAACACCGCGTAAACGTCTTTCGCTAGGGAGATCCTAGTTTTAGGGACAAGCCAGACAAGATGGCGGCGGGTCGTTTAGTGGGTAATCACGGTAATAAAGGCCGACCATTTCGTTTGGATTTACCATGAGATAAAAATTGTGATAATTCTGCTGAGAGGTAGTTATTAACGCCAGTAAAGAGAGCAGAAGGGTCTAAATTGCATTTTGTTTGTGTCGCCCGCCATCTTTGTTAACCACATGGACCCAGCGAAAAGTTGCTCCGCCTTCTAGGATTTTCTTGGTGCTCGGATCTTCCTTCCTCCATGTAAAAAGCCCCTCAAATGTTCAAAAAATGCTAGCATAATGCACAGAAGCTCAAATAGAGAAATAGCACGTGTGGCTGTGGAAGACAGTCACGTTTTCGCGTTCACTGTGTCTTACTTTTTGCTTTACTTTCGTGGTTCCTGTTTATACAGCCTGGTGAATCAGACAAGAATTTGTCAAGTTATGCCATTAATCTGTTGGAAGTAAACAGACAAGAAAAATACTTAGTGGTATGTACAAAAGAAGAATATCTGGCTTTTTCAAACATGTTAATTGTTATATTAGAATTGATAGCCACGTTTTGGCGTTTTTTTTTTTCACCATACATTTTAAAATACTCTGGGCTGACACAAACGAAGTACGTTAGATGATCCTATAGACGCCCACCATCAAATACACGTCTCTATTGACGCCCCTCCTATCTACGATGTTAAGTTTGTATTAAACGCCCTCTCTCATAAAGGCTCCCTGTCTAATGGACGCTCCAAAGTGCTAAGAAATCATTCAAGTTGTTCTTTCTCCTGCTTCATTAACATGGGTTTGTGCACTGAATCTTGTTCAATGTCAAATTCATAGTAAAGGTGGGCTAGCAATGACAATTTAAAAGGCAGCCGGAGCGTTCATACTTGGTGTTCGCGCACGTCGCCCTAGTACGGTACTCGCTGGGCACTAATGTGAACACACCCTTGTGTCAAGTACCCACGCTAGAATTCGGCCACGGTACCGGTGCCCCAGTACAAGGTCTACAAGGTCTCGACCTTGTACTCGGGCACATAACTGGGCACTGGGTCTCTGTGTGCACACAATTTTTGTTAGTGCCGGGCAGTCTACTGCTTTGTTCTCGCTGCTATAAAGCTCATGTTTCAAAATGGCGTCTGACAGGGCGAAATGGAGTAACTATGCTCACAGTCATATATCGGGCACTCAAAGTGTGAACACAACACCATTTTGTGCCAGCACCCAGACACTGGTACCCAATCACCAAGTGTGGATAGCCCCTTAGTGATCTTGACCGAGGATACTCTTCTCTAAGATTTGAAAGAGCGATATGGATCCTTAGACGGCTACGACGTATCAGTGGATGGACTGGATATTCTGGTTTTAATTAACTCTTTTAATTAACTCTCTGTCACAGTCAGTGGTGCTGGAGTTTGTGCATGTGTTTGTTTTGTTTTGCTTTTTTTATAGCTAGATCGCAAGCCTTGTCAGAGCCAAAGCGATTATAAGTTTACTGTCGTATAGAGATGTTTTCTTTTTTATTAATAGGGAGCTTTGGCAACGACGACGGCGACGGCACCGAGGACGTCAAATAAGCAATAGGTTTAGATGGGCAAACAACTTTGCACGTACATTACGCTTTTTTGTACATTTCTTTGTCGTCCTTGAACGGCTACGACGGCGTGAAAATGCCTAATCTCAGATTTCATGGAGGACGTAAACAAGCGACGGCGAATTTTTCTTTCTCTTTCTAAACTTAAGTGTGGCCCACAAGAAATCAGCTCTAGGGAACTTTGGCTACATTTGACATTTTCAGGGAATTGGAGTAAACGCGACAAAGTTTGAAAAAACACGGAATCATTTTAAAAGTGATGTTTTCTCTGCCGTTGCCGCCGTCCATGATTAAGCTCCTAGCAACTTATTTATTCTTTACACCTTTTACTTGCTTCAAGTCTCTAAGGAACACGCGCAAACATGATTTTGCTCATTTATGTTGGTTTGTTTTAGCTACGTGAAATCGAATGGGAAAAATCCGGCCTCCTGTTGCATGACCGACGTTGTGATGTGGCGTGTTTTATGTATGACTCTACGGATGCTGCTTCATTTAACCAAGTTGTACAACTTAGAGAGGTTTGTATCACTATCCAGACTGTGATCCAGCCATCCCGATCTCGTCGGGACTCTACCGATGTTGCTTGAAAATCCCGAGTCCCGACCAATACGCGATCGGGATAGGAAAAAGTCCGATTTTGACATATGTTACGATATTTTCAAAGAGTCATTAAGACAGAAGTACAGCCCAGTTTACATCATTCTGGGGAAAATGTTTTAAGAGGTATTTAAAAGCGACAACTTACTCTCATAGCATAGTCTCCGCTTGGCGAAAGGCGAGCTGTTATTTCTGCGTTATGTTTTTGTTCCTAGAAACTACCCAAGACTGTTCCTTGCCTTTTAATAGCAGGAAAGAGCGAAGGAATAAGAGCTCAACAGGTAGGGTATCTTCCAATACATATACACAGCAATCCTGCCCCGTTTACTAGAAAAAGTTAAGAATTGCTTTTGATTGTTGAATGTTTGTGTTTTTAGGATTTTGAAATGCAGCCAGACTTGTACTGTACGTTAAACAAGCTTCCACCACCTCAGGTATGTGAGCGGGGTGTTTGAATAAGGTCATGTTCACACCGGCACGAAATGCTATCCAGTACGGTATGAACACCTATCCGATATGTTACACACCATTTTAGAGATCAGCGCGGCGCAGCTTCGCCCTGTCACAGAAATTGCGCCGAAATCACCGTTCTTATGTGTGAATAGAAGCCCTAACCAGTATGGTTTTCCTGCCGGCGCAAAAGCTATTCAGTGTTCCAACGAGTTTTACATTGTTTTTTTTACCGGTTATGCGTAATTAACTGAACACTTTGTAAATGATTTAAGTTGTGAAAACATTCTGTTGAATTATTCTTTTTAACCGTGGAGAAAATATGCCTGGTTACCGGGCTTGGTTCTTACCCAAAACGTTGGCGGGCATTTTAATTTACAACTAAAGCCATTGGAGTAGAACTTTTTGGATTGAGGATCTATGGAGAGACTTGTTCATTACCTTGCGTGCCCTGTTACTCATTATGACTTAGACTAGATGCCATTCCTCACGGCTTTCCATCTAATACATACAAACTGATATAATCGTCGACAAGTATTACAAGAACAAAACACATCTGATGTTATTATGTTTCAGCCATTCTCGTCGCTTGGTAGACCTGTCGTTTACAAACCTATCTACAGCAACCTGGCACAAATGGCTGTCTATCCGTAAGTACACAAATCGTCTCTCTGATCTAAAATAAATTCATTACAACTTGAGTATCTGTTTCGAGGTTTTTAAGATAGTAGTGCTCGGAGGTGTGAAAGCTTTGTTGTTGCCTTCATTACGAAAAGTGATCAAACAAAGTTCCTACTTTCCTCTTGTAAAAGAATAAAACTGCTTGCAAAGAGGTTTCGCTGAATTGCCTCGCTGTAATGTTTTGTCCAGCTTATGTGGCGGAAAATGACTACAATGAGAGTAAACTTTTAGCGTGGCCGCAGTTCACAGTTATATTATTTTCTTCCCTTGTAGACACCTTTGTGGTCCCGATGCAGATACTGCGACTTCATATTGGGTTATTGCCGGATTAGCGGCTGCACTTGTAGCAACGGCTGGTATTGTGGTGTTTAGATACTTACGAAAGGGGGGATCGACCACGTGACACACCCGATTCCTATCTTATAGCGAGTGAGAAGAGAATGACTCTTGATAACAAGAACTGAAACGGGTTACATTTCCCGGACGCAAAATGGGTGTAGTCTGGCAGAAATGAGAGAATTAATACCATATATTAGCCGTTTGAGTTCTTTTAATTGGAGTACATGTAGTACAGGGAGTTATTACCGGTGAACAATGTCTCAATTACCATATCGTTCCAACGTCAATTTATTTTTTCCCCAGAATTGTACAGTTATTGCTTTTAATTTAAACGTAAAGTTCAAGATAAAGTATCATCATTGTATTAAAACTATGCATTAGCATTGTTTTCAATTTCTCTTGGGGCGATTGTAATCCTAAAAGAAATTGAAAGCAATGCTTATGCAAAATTTTGGAGGGACAACAAAGAGTATTATGGTATTTTTGAAAAAGGCGTAGAACACTGCTACTAAGCGGACACAATTTAATTACTTTTTAAACCAATCTAATCGCACTGTATCAATCTCGCTGTCTTTCTATACCAATCAGAAGCAACCTTGCCGTTTTCTTTAGGCAATCGTAAGCCTATCTTATGACTGTTGAACCTTTAAATTTTCCCCTCCTCGTATATAATTCTATAACCTGTTCGCAGACCCTCCATTTCCTCTTTAGAGATCGTCGTTGCGCGTTTGAGAAGAAAAACTGCGGGGGCTTATTGACCACTAGCGCAAGGGAATGTTTTGCCATTGCTCCGCGCTCGCTCTCACGTACACGCTTCTCTTGCGCGCTCGCTAAATTCATCGAAAAAAAATATAAAAAAATGTGGACAGGCTATCAATACTGCTATCACAGAAGAACCTCTCCGTAGGAACAGTTCTCTGAAATGTTCTTAAAGATGCCAAACATCACCCAATTTCTATCTGTTAAAGTTGGACAACTGGCTCTGTAGCTTTTCTGTCCATGTTAAGGAAGTTTGACTCTCCCTAGTGTAATATTCATCGTGTGATAATTATTTTCTGCTGACGTTTTGAGCTTATAGCCATAGGTAGCTCTGTAATATTCCCAGTTGCAATTAGTTAGGTAATATAGCAAAAAAGGGTCGCAGGTATCTGTATTTATTTGACAGTGACAGCTTCCTTGCCCCTTCACAATACAGTGAAACTAAATAAAGTGTATTAAGTGCCCTAGTGCAATCAGTAAAAACATTCTTAAAAGGTCTGTTGTTGTGTGTTTATGCTGCCAGTTCTTGACTGCAATGTGCTCTTTCTCTCTTGATCTCATAAAGCTCCGGTAAACATTTTCCCCAGCCCCACGAATCAAACCTATCTTGCAACAAATCAGGTTGTTGCATGTTGCGTTAATACTAACATCAGATTGGATAACATTACGCGGGAGTCACGCCATACACAGGAATTACGTCACTCGCTGGAAAACAAGTTTGCTTTTGGCCTGTAAAACGCGCAACATGGAAAGATTACGAAAAAAGTTGCGAAAAAGGTAGAACTACCCACTACTTTCTGCAACAACGTTTCTCGCAACCTGCAACAACCTTATTTACTGCATGACAGATTTGATTCCGGGGTTGTGAAACGCGCAAAATCGCTATTCAAGTCATTTTGCAGCAATGTTTCCAAAACAAGTTGCACGTTTTTGTTGCATCGCGCACAGATTACAAGGAAAAGAAACTGTTGTGTCTGCGTAGCTAGAAGAATTGTAGTACGGCAATGCTTTTTGGCGGCTAGGAACTCTCCAAAGTGGTCGCAGTTTCATATAAGGAGGAGTTTGTTTGTATTAAAAAAAAGAAAACACCACGCAAAGATACTACTGGAAGGCAAAGAAGAAGTAATCCATTTCAATTCTAAGACTGCGTCTTGCTTTCATGGTGAAGTTCACGCCGCGCCAGTTGTCGGTTGATAGAAGAATCAGAAAGGGCCCGGGACACAAGCGACAATTTGCTTTGTGTGCTTTGCGGATTTTTTTTCTGAATCTTTGTTCCCACGACAAGTTGCACAAATTCAAACCAGACAATTTGGGCGACTTGTTGCGGGAACAAAGGATTTTTTTTTGACAAATTCTGCAGTGAGTACGAAACGAACGTTCGCTGTGACCTGTTCCCCAGCTCTTTTGGCTATGTATTTATCTGTACTGATATTGTTAAGTTACTCTTGGGATCTAAGGGATTGTAATGTTTAATTAAGTAGAAAAAGAAAATGGCCACATAATTTTTGGATTTTTTATTTTTCAAGTTAACGGTGAAACTTCAGATGGCTGAAAGACTTAACTTTCATCATTGCCCAGCGTGGGTATGTGTGCGAGATCTTACGCTTGGATCACAAAACGAACAAATTTCTGTCATCTACTTCATGACAAACCCTCTCCTACCCTGGGTGCTAGAAACTTTTCATGCGCGATTTCCGGTTTCGGTTCGCCGCTCGTGGCTTCGGGTTTAATTAAGGCCGAACTAAATAGGCGTCGGCCTGCGGCTGACCAGACCAGAAGCATCTCCGCTGCACACGCAAGAAAAAAACTTTTGGTACCCAGGGTTACTCCCTCCTTACCCTTTCTCATATTACGATACCGAGTGCCGAGTTTCGCTATCTGCCAACAATAAGTTTTAATGTCGATTCATGATGGTCATTCATAAAAATACCAAAAAGTCCTGAAGTATATTCGCATTGTCTCAAATTCTCTCCAAAGTACTTTTGCAAATTGGAGTACTTCTCCAACATTGACGATGCACATTGTGTTTGTTTCATATATTCGTCATAACACTGCCTCCACTTGGTTGTCTTAGGCCATGGCAAATGGTCCACTACCATTTGGTCGAAGAGTTTCTTCTCACAATTCAAGTGTATCATCTTAGCGCAGTCTTCAGGACCCATTAAGGGTATGGTAACTGGAAGGAAATAAGATATGAAACCTCAATTTGGGATCTAGGGGAGGAACCCGGATCGGTCATTTCTTTCGCTCTAAGGGGATGGGTCATTTCTTTGGCCCGCGAATGTTTACCTCTCCCCGAGATTTACTTCCTGAAATTTGTACACGAAGGAATTTTTTTTTCGTGGTTCCTGAGAACTGAAAAACTAGTTATACATTTTTTCTCTCGAGGCTCAAATATTGACAACTGAAGCGGGAATTAAACAAATAAACTGTTTCCAGAAGACCAGTCACTATGCTGCATGGCAAGCTGGCTGGGCCTGTACAAGAAGCCAGCTTTACTTCATTCAGGGCCATACGTTCTTATCAGCAAAGTATTTCTCAACTCTCTTAATCCCAGGCTCATTGTAACTATGCCCATCTCTTTTTATAGAGAGGAGATGTGTGACGTCACGTTACCATAGTTGCAAATTTTCTGGATCTCAAAAATCTTTATTGACAGAGACGGCCATTTTTATTGTCGAGCGACGCAAGTATCGGCTGCCGTTCTGTTCCTGAGTGCCGTCATGCACAGGAAAGTCATACATGTCAAAGGTTTGTAGAGATCCAGAAATTTTGCTACCAAGGCAACGTGACATAGCGACTTCTCCTTTCTTACACCTGCAAGGTGCAGCCAAGTCAGTGAAAGCACAAAAGAGAAAGCCTGTAAGAAATCGTTTAGTGCAAAAAACTTACTTTTTGGATGCTGGAGAAGCAACTGTTGGACCGTAGCTATAAGGCAACAAGAACGTTACAAATATACAAATTGTTTTATTAAAAAAAAATAGCTCGATCTTTTTTATGGAAAGATGTTAAGACGATTTCGTTAAATTGAAATAGAAAAACTCCTCCATCGAATTTCAAATTGTGACTTCAGGATATATGAGAGTATACTTGACGTTTGGGAACAAAGATACAATTTAGCAATCTCGCGGACTGAGCTGTGAGTCGGAAATCGGCCCGTATTGGCCATTCAGAGAGGTTTCGCAGGAGACTAGCCTAAGGAGGGTACTTTGTCGAAGTGCACTATGGGATAGTTTTGGACCCAGTCTACTTTCCATAATGACAAAACCATTCTAATTTCGTATTATCCCAAAAGGCATAACCCATCACAGCAGCTGTGCAAAATGTGCTTGTGCTAGTAATAAAATTTAAAACAAGGTGAGAGTGCTAAATAATAAACAAAAATAGGACCGGGGACAGCGTTTTTTTTTTTTAAAACATGGCACATGACAGCCATTTTGAAAGAAGTAGTTTTATGCCAGTTTTAACCATAGGAATCGTTCAGGAATGTTTTTATCTGCCTATTTTCTATTCTGATAAATTGTCAACTTGACTCTGACGTTTGCCGTTTGCGGTAAACGTGAATCTTAATCTCTCTAAAATCTCTCTTACCATACAGCGCAAACTTCAAAACAAACTTTTGCAGACTAAGACTAAAAGAACGTTAAAAAAGTAACGAGTTCTACCGCTCCTTGTAACAAAATAAACTTGCAAAAAGCAAGCATATATCTGCAAAATACTTTTTCTTTATTGTTATTATTTGGCCTCATATACATAACGCACGATGGCAAAAAAAAATACTAAGAAATATTTTTATTTACAAATGATTTTGTCTTTTCAATACTGACTGACATATACGATTAGGTTCGATCAGAAAAGGACGAAAAAGTCGAGGAAAACTCAAGAAGCCATGAAGACGATTGATCAGACATGTCTCCCTCTTAGACGGGCCGAGATAAATGCAACACGTTTTCTGACAAGAAAGAACAAGAAGTTGAACTTACCAGAATTTTGGATACTCTGTTCAAGTTGCTCGAAGTTGCTGTTAGGACACATTAACGCTTTATCTACTATAGAAGACTGGAGTAAGAGAAACCGATCTTTATCCAAAAGGATTCCTGACCCTTGTCTTTCTTCAAAGCAGTCTATTACTTTCTGTAAAAGAAAAATGTTCGTAAGAACTTTGTGCACAAACTTTTGAAAACGTTTTGTTAGATGCCTACAAGTAATAAAATTTTATGTACTTAGAAGAAGGTGTTGTGAAAACGGTGTGAGTCTAAACCGGATGATGACAACAGCACAACAACGAAGATAAGAGACTCTTTCCTTTTTAACGCAGTTCTAGAGATCTAGAGGTACCTTGCAAAACGGCTCTGTTAGCTTTGCAGTTAGTGCAGGCAGGAGACTGATTGATCGATATGTAGAAAGGGTGGGTGCTGTTTTCCACATATTGTTTGTTGATCCCGGGGAGGAACTTCCATTAGAAATAGACGTGGATCCTCCTCATCTCATTTTAAAAAGTGTAAACTGCAGTTGTTGGTGCCACTTAGTGTGTAGAAGGAAAGGCTGATATTTCCTCATATTCATTTGGTATCAAATATAACATTCGGCGATGACAATATTTTAAAGCTCGGTAATGAAAATAACTATACATATAGCTAATATATATTTGGTTGTCTGTTTAAGTATACTATGCATGGTCCGGCCTTTCATTATCCGAATAAGGCCATAGTCACCCTAATTAAGGGGTCAAATAAGCCTGCCGCTGCCTCCTTTTGGGGTTTAATTTAAATTTTCCGACGGGCATCTCCGTCTCTTCTACTGCTGTCCGGTTTCTTCTTACATTGCTAACACGAAGTGCTCATGCATCAGTCATGATCAATTCCAGCTGCGCTCAGCGCCCCCCTCCCCTCCCCCGGGATACTGCGGGACATTTGCCAGCCTTGTCAGGTGGGGCATTTGCAAATTTTGCACTGCCCGGGGGCTGGGCATTTGCCAACCACCGGGGCCGTTCCCGAGCTTTTGACACGCACGCAGTTTCCTATCAGAATATAAATACACAGAGGGTTTTACTGGAAAAAAAGCAGATTGGCTCATCTGTCAAGGACCGGAATAAATTGAAGAGGGTTGTAAAGTTTTATACTTGCATTTCTTCATTGCTTATCAAGCCAAAATTACATAACGAAATTGGAGCTATCGATGGGAATCAACGTTTTTTGGTTATTGAATCAAATTTCTGTTCATATTATTTGAAGAACATCCTTTCATATTTATAAAACTATTCATAACATATAACTTTACAACGCTCTATTAATTTAATGTCAATAATTTTATATCAATACTAAAACCATAAACTGGTGCATGTCGACGTTAGGAAATATAATCTGGCTGCGTTTAGGGAGACAATTTCCTCTTCCATCCAGATTTACTTTTATGGATCTTCAGACAAAGAATTGGGTATACACTGATCGTTAGAATCCTAGCGCTATTACAAAGGAAGACGTAAACTGAAACATAAAATTGCACATTAAAATGCTTAAAATGGCACCATCCCCCACGTTAATTTCCTTACAATTCAACTGTGCGATCAATGAAAAATGTTGCCGTGTTGACGGAGGACGGGGCTGTTGCCCTCTTTTTTCGTCCTTACCCCGGGGGATTTGACAGCTCAAGAGTCCCCCCCGGGAATTTGCCATCCAAGGCAAAAAAAATGCCAGTACCCAGGGTTCAGCCCGGGGGGGGGGAGGGGGCGGGGGCTGGGCGCAGGTGGAATTGACTGATGCATAACGAAGGCCTTCGAGCATTGTCATGGATTTCTTGGATAATAATCTTTCTCCGTTTTTAGCAGCCAAAACATAATTATTATTGTTTTGAAATCAACATAATTTTGTATGACCGAACTGATCCAACAAGCAAGGAGGCTGCGCACTTCTTAATAAATAAGTCCTTAAAGTCTGAAACTGAGGACTGATTTATCCTGTCAGTTTGACGCCGGCAGTTCTTACCTGTTTCACATCGCAAGCGGTATCAGGAAATGGCGGTTCTCCGGAATCAACCATCAGCCGATAAAAAATACCATTACAATCTTTGATAATTTTATCTTCTTCGCTAATTTCTCCTTCGGCCACAGCCACTCGGAGAAATAATTTACAAAATGCTAAAGCTAGAGCCAGAAAACGGACCAAATGTAGTTCTGTGTTCATCTTTGTTCGACTGAAGACCCATTCAGAAGCTGTCGCTAGTCTTGAATTTTATGAGTGTAGGTGCTACTTTTTGTCAAGCGTGTCCAAAGTACCTGCCGCTTCATTATTAACGCGTATGAGAACCACAGGAAACGAACTCAATCATCATTAATCATCTTCCAAACCTCTTCATCTGCAGCTGTGAATTAAGGAGACGCGAAATGTGTCAAGTGTTTCTAACAGTGACTGTGAGTAAAATCCTATGACGACAGGCCTTTTCTGTTTTAACACGGATGAGGGGAGCTATTTGCTCTACATGCTCATCGAAATTGAAGTAAGAAAAGCAACACTTATATCCTGCGGTCCGTTTTCTGGCTCTAGCTTTAACCTCTGCGCGTTAATTTGAGTTAACGCGCAGAGGTTTTGTTGAGGGTATGATACATTTTTCAACTTTCATCAAGTTTCATTCAATTATGCCAAATCTCTTAGTAACCCCTGGTATGCATCGCACAATGAAGCACAAGCCTTTTCACCAACGATGATACCAGCAGTAGATCAGGGTGGTTGATTGTGCCGACCACCCCAACTAGCGACGAAAAAACGAGACGGCAACTGTAGAGCACCTTTGTCCACTGAAGAAGCTCGGATTGCTGTGGGAAGTTAAAAGTTTTCCTCTTTTCTCAGGCTCTACTAATTCGATTATTTACTAACAAACTCGACGTCCACTTCCTTCCCGCCCAAGGATTATTTAATTAGACATTAGGGACGGACCATTAGAAACGTTATGGGGGGGGGGGGCAGGGAAATTTTCGAGCCGCAGCAATTTTTTTTCGTTATCAAATTCCTTGTATGAATTTTTTTTAGGTCATAGATTAATTGGCGTGCAAGAATTTTTTTTCATTTAATTTTCCCTTGCGCGAATTTTTTTTTTAAGTTTTCTAATGGTCCGTCCCTTAGTTAGAAAGATTTAGAGTAAGGTTTTCATACAGAAATTTGTACCACGAGACCAAGTTTTTCCTTAACTTTACTGTTACTTGCTGTTCATTATTTACTGTTTACTTTTTTTATTTACTATTTTCTATACTGTTCATTATTTCTTCCCTAAAATTAGTAGTTTCACGTTAGTTTTGTCCATAACGATTGGTTCGGACTGTTTTAAGCCGCACGTTTTCTATTTGGAGAAATTCTCAACTTGAATATGACGCTTGCCTGGTCTCCCTCGCAGCCGTTTTGTCGGGGAACGTTGCGTGACATTCCCAAAAACGGCTGCGAGGGAGACTAACGTTTGCCGTAAACATCACGCTAAGGGCCTGTTTACATAGTAGGGCCCCCCACCTCCACGTAACCAGGCCCTAAATCTCTTCATTATCATTCACGATACCCGCCAACTTTGAACGCCCTTTAGGATCGAGGTAATAAAAGCAATTTCACGTGGTATTGCAGGGGGCCAACAAGTGACAAAAGTTGTTCGCCATTTACATGGGCAAACCAGTGGCTTCACGTCCGGACTAATGGTAAGCAAAATTCAAGACTGGTTAATTTCGTCCCGGAATCGCCTTTACCATGTGTACAATGAAATCAGTTTCATTTACCGAAAAACGTCCAAGCAGGCCTGAAAACTTTGAATTGAAGAAGTGGAACACGAATTTCCGTTTGCAACATTCCCTCCGGAAAAACAGGAATACTTTTCAGAAGTTCCATTGCTCCTGCAAATTTTCCGGTGGATCCACCCAAACAGTCGCGTTCCAATTACTTTCCCACCGGATTTTCCGAAACTTTTTGCAAATGGTAAACAACCAAAATTTGCCAATACCAGTACAGTTCGAGTTTCGACAAGATTTATATCATTAATGTTTGCTGTGAAGACATTACGGTCGCTACTGAATCCAAAGAAGTAACAATGGTCGCTTCCGCCCATAATCTGCAATTATCGTCTTTAAAATGAAATGTTCATGATCTGTTGTCTAGAATAAACAATATTAACCGCGATTTCTTGTATTAGCGAAAATTTTTCACTTGTTTGCCCCAGAGAAACCACGTGACACTGCTTTTATCTCATCTGTCCACAAGCGGGTGCAAAGATGGCGGATATCGTGAATTCACTACTTTCACATAAACCATAATAAACCTTGTTTACCCCCAAAATTTCGCATAAGCATCGTTTTCAAGTTCTCTTGGGAGGATTGTAAATCCCAAGAGAAATTGGAAACAATGCTTATGCAAAACTTTTGGGGGGAACACAACGTGTATTATAGGAATGTGAAAGTAGCGAATAAAGTCTATTCTTCGTTCCGCGCTCGGTAACGCATCGCAAGAGGGGACAGAAGTGGGGTGCGGGGATGTTAGCATTAACTAAAACAAAATGATGCAGAGGAATATTCTGTTTATTTATAACGAAGATCTCGGTCAGTAGAAAAACCCTAGAATTTTTCCACCAGTGTGCTTTCTCCTGGCCTCTTCATGGTCCATGATGCCGCTGGAGGTAGTAAGGACAAGGTATCTGTAAACACAATCATACAGTCTGAATCTTGACTGACATAATTAATAATATTTAATGCCTCATCAGTGGCCTGAAAGCACCCTGGATTTGGGGAGGAGGTGGGGAGCAGGGGGGAGCAGGGTGCTTATTGGAAAGGATCCCAAAATGTTGCTTTATGGCCATTGCTTTAATTCATTTTAACCCTTAAGAGGTAACAAAAACCAGAGGAGTAACTAATACAGTCAAATCCCTTTAATGCTGACACCCCTCGGACTACAAGTTGCATGTAGTGTCCTTAAAAGTGAGAGCTGCAATAAAGGGAATTTAGTCCAGTCAAACTACGTTATGTAATTAATTTTGCTGGGATTTAGCCCTTGATTGTATTATTGGGTATCTGTAACGCAAGGTGGCAGCAACGCGACAGTTGCCGATAGTTTCCACCACTCATTCTTTGGCCAACACCCTTAAAGACCCCTCTCCCCATCCCCCCCCCCCAGCAGTTGCACCCATGGTACAGTTCCTCCTATACACAAAATCCTATCATTTTAAACAATCAATTGAACAGACTACAACGTGGGATAACAAAACCCATTACATTACATTTAAATGACTATCAAAACCTGACAGGTAACCACATGTGTATGCTCACTTACCCAAACTGTCTCGATGGCAAGAGATTGCTTGCCCACTGTTCAATATCGTGAACTTTCAAGTCATAACGAGGACTTATAACACCACACTAAAAAAAGGAAGATGATGATTTATCAAGATGCATTGCTCTAGTCTTCATTGTTATGGTGTGGATGGATGCTAGTGTGCCTTCATGGTATCTCATGTTTAAATCTGAATCCACTTCTCACTTTGCAACTACTCTTACCGACTAATTCCTTTGTTTCGCATTGCTCATCACCTAATATTGCGCATAACAGTGTGACAATAACTGCCGTTTTGAAGATCACCTATTAAGCTTTAAGAGAGGTAACTTCAACTTCAAAAAAGGCCCCTTCTGTAGTCTAAATAGTTTTAACAGCAATTTTGATAACTCTTCCTGGCTAAACTAGTGTTGGTCTTGGGACCCGCCTTAGTCCCTTTGCACAAACTGATAATTTGAAGATGAATTTGTTTCTTTGAAGTCTTTTTGTGACGAAAGGAGAGTGGTGAACCCCTTTTATGGGTGTTTTTCACTTGTTATGACTACAAGAAAAATATATTTAAAGGAGGTAAAAAAAAAATAGATGGAAGAAGTTGTATTATTTAGAGATGAATGACGTGCAAAGAGACCCCTTTCTATGGGTGTTTTTTACTTTTTATGACCACAAGAAAAATATATTTAAAGGAGGTAAAAACATGGACGGGAGAAGTCCTATTATTTAGAGACGAATGACGTGCAACCCCCCGTTTGAAGCCACAGAGGAGTTTAAGATAATGTCAAAAATGTCTAATTTTTTTATGTTTTTGCAAAGGGTCAGATATTGCGCCTAAAAATTTAATAATGGCAACCAGAATTCAGCGGGCAACTTACCATGTAGCACTGTTATTCATATTGTTATTGTTAACTTCAACATTCATAGAAACTGATTAAAAGTATGATTTAGTCCCTTTCACTGACAGGTGTCTTACTTTTTACCTTGTTAATGTTTTAGGAATAAACTGAAATGAGTTTTTCTCTGGAACTACCTCCACAAGATCTGCGAGCAATGCAATGTGAACGTTGCCAAGCCACTATGTTTATCTCCAGCAGTTTATCTCAGAATGCCGGTGCTTAATACCATGTGCTCTGAATATTCATTCAGACGAAGTTTCTGTGAAGACACTCCAATCTTTTCTTTTTTATTGCAAAGTGGAGATGAAAAAAGTGCCAAGAATTTTGTGGAACATTTGGACACCTGGGCTACGAAAGTGAAACCGTACATCTTTGAAGTCTAGGCTGGGTATTTTTTCACTCAAAAAGGTAATTTGTTAAAACGAAAACGGAAATGCTATACACATACGTTCCTTTCTGATGACTAGAGTGGGGCTCTTTTTGAACACAGAAATGTCTAAACCATGCTTTTTTACATTTTATTGTACAAGAAAATTTTTGGTGACCACGATTGGCCATCTGGCAGCCAAAAATTCATATTTAGTTGCCAGTTGGCATCCATAAAAAAAGTTAATTTCAGACCATGTGCAAGATCAGGTAATTAAAAAGTCACATTACTGAGAAATTATAGCACAGACAAACAAATGGTCCCTAGGTTTCATTATGATTTCTAGTTTTTGCCATATGATAACAAATTTTTGACGGTTGTTCAAGTTTTGAACATTTCACACCCAACCGGGGAAAATGCTCAGAATTATGCGCACGCAGGACAAAAACAGGCAGGGTTACCCCATCTTTTTGCTGCAGTTCTTCAATGTCCTATATATGGCTGTCAATTATTGTGCCAAGTTTGAAAAAAATCTGGAAAGCAGATCATTTTCAAGGGAATTACCTCAAATAAAAACAGCCAAAGCTCTCACAAATGACTAATGTGGTCACATCTACAGCAAATAGCTAATGCAACCTTGTTATAACAGCATTGTTCACAGAACAAGAACAGGAGAGAGACTGTATTGAAAAATTAATAGAATCAAACCTTGTTCAAGCGTCCTGTCAAGTTGACTACAATTTTGCCAGCTCTATGGTCATCCACAATTTCAAATTCCCCAATATAACCTGAAAAGAAACAATTTTGTCAGTAAATTTCACGAGTGGCTCCTAATGAACCTTTTGTGAGCTACCAACTCCTACAAGTGAGCAACAACCACTTTTTTTTATCCCCTTACTAGAGGTTTGACTGCAACATTCAATGTTTGGAAACGGTTCAAGTTGAACACCATAAGGCAATGATATTGAATAATAACATGGTTAAATCCATGAAAAAGATGGTGCAAACAGTGAAAAAAGTTGTGACCATCAATTTCCATTGACTGATTGATCAATATCAATCAATCAAGAATAGGTCCATTGCAGCTAGCCATTCATGTGGTACAAAACCACCACACTGGAGAACAAAAGTTGCACTGGGACAAGACAAACAAAAGACATACATAATTTGAAATGGTAATTTTCTTTGTTTGTCTTGTCCCAGTGCGACTTTAGCTCTCCAGCACCGTGGTTTTTTACCACGTGAATGGCTAGCTGCAAAGGTCCTATTACCGACTGATTGTCTTATGTGAAAAGCAGTAGCGACCATTTCATGTATCAAACTTAACACCTGTTTGGGTTGATCCAAATTATACAAGTCTGACAGTTGATTCAAATGTCCACGTTTATAAGTCAGCCTCAAGTCACTTTCACAATGTACAATGTTCTACAATGCTTACCAATCAAAACAAATTATAGTAATTTATACATTGGATTTGGTACACAAAAAGTTTGACGATTGAAACAGAGTTGCTCCATGGTCGAAATTCCCATGTGGGTTACTCGAACTTAATTCATGATAAGACACGTCTGACTTTATTGATTAAAATGTCGATCTCCTCATGTACTTGATTGAAGAATTATGCTTGGTACGTGAAAAGTTTGACGTTTGAACTAGACCTGAGCTACTTATGTGAAACTCATACAATTAGTCTGTAGTTGCTCCAAAGTATATACACCAGACAAGAAATAATTGCTTATTTTTCTTACTACCTTTACCCAGTAATCAACCTGATAAAATACAAAACAAGGAAAAACCGCGATGTATGTGTCACGTTCGTCTGATCATGACCTACATGTGAAACCGTAAAAGATTAAAGTTGTAAGGATGTAGATGTAAAGCCATCAGCTGAGCACAGACAACAGTTTCACAGCTGACGAGAACTATCAGAGAAAATAATTCTCATTACACCACCCAAGTAAACTCAAAACATACCATACGATATAAATAGGGCTTGTGGCACGTGTTTCTAGCACTAACAAAATTTTCTTCGTAGTTCTACAAGATCAGAAGAGGAAACAGACGCCATTACACCTACCATGTTTCATCATAACAGTGAGAAACTTTACAATAACTTTCGATGAGGGACGGAGAAGAACCTGCCGCTTTCCTCGTCTTTCCGCATTGCAAATAGAGTTTAGAGCGTCGCTTAAGACATTAATCCGCACCATCTTGAACCCTGAGACACAAAACACTGATGTCAACAGAAGCCCTAAAACAAGCTCAGTAAATGAACGTTAACGTTCAGTAAGACACAAACTACCGCAACAAAAGTCAAGAACAGTTATTGCTTTATTCAGAAATGAAGAGAATTTCAGGACAACCCTTCTTAGGAAGCGGATGGAGACAGATTTTCGGGAACAATTTACTATACCTGGTTGAAAATCGCGATCGCGAGAGAGAGAAAGAAACTAGTTACTAGACCATAATATATTCCCGGTAGCCTCGCTTTCGTGATGTTTGTTTCGAGGCGCGGTTGACAGCCAGCGCGGTAAACAGAAATCAACAGACTTCGTAGTCCTTTATGATTTGTTTTTCGTTGAAATGCAAATATTTGAGTTGCTTTTAAATGTATATGCATATAATGCAAAAGATCTATGAGTCATCGATGTTAAGAACTACCTGTACATGGAGCGAGGAGGGTATGCTAGTTTATAGACGCTGACGGTTATAAATGAGCAGAGGTCTCCAGAGAGACAATACGTTTTAACTTATGTATGTTTGAGACTTAGTGGGATATAAACTTAAGTCCTTTTAAATTCAGATCACGTTTTGTGTGTCGATCACAGCTGAAAAGATTTATTATCAAATAGTGAAATGCTACTAATGAGACTGTCAATGACTTGCAAGAAAGTGCGATTGAGCTTGTTTAACGGTGTTTTGATAGCGTGACTTTGTGAGATCTTTTGACGATCTCTTCAGTGACTGTAATGTTTACAAGAGAGAAGAAAAGAGTGGATCCAGCACGAACCAATACTAAAAGAGGTCGCAAAGGAAAAAACTCCAAGGCAGCTTGGGAGAATTTGCTTTCTACTTCTCACAACGGTAGTTCTACACTGGTGAATGGAAAGGTGTCTTTTGGCGCTGACAAGAGAAGTGGGTACCCACACGTTCAATGGTCGGATGATGATGACGACGATGACGATTATGATAAATACAATACTTCTATAACTCCAAATGCATCTCTTAACTTTTCGGGGAGTCGCTCCAAAAGTTTTGAAAGTTTATGGAGGTCCGCATCTGCCCAAGCAAGGTCAAATACTTCATTAAGTAGGAGTTTTGAGTCACAGGCAATGCCAGTTGAAGACTTTTATATGCATACTGCCCAACCACCGGTTCCCAAGAAAGTTGTTAAGCAAATACGAGATGGAAATTATATTAACTTCCAAGAACTTCTTCCTGAAAATCTTGGAAGAGAAAATGCAAAGAACAAGGTGTTGATTGATGAAACTGAAAGAGTGGATGATATCACTAAGTGGATTGATTGCATGGCTACTTATGTTGCTGTGTTTACATGTAGTGATCCTAATCGAATCAGAGATTTATTGGCCTATCAAGGAATAATAACCAGATTATACCGGGAATGCCATGACAAGAAAGCTTGGCAACGATATGACGTTGCATTCAGGCGGAAGGCATCTCAGAATGGACTGAGAGACTGGAGCACAGTTGATGAAAACTTATGGATAATGGCTTCATCCCGAGATGCAAGGAGAGCTATCCTCTGTAAACCTTGTTTGTCTCTAGCACATGACCAAAATTCTTGTCCGCTGAAACCTAAAGAAGAAGTATCAAAGACTTCAAGGCAGCGCTCTTGGTAAAGTATGATAATAATATACTGTAAATTGCAGCTTACCAGTGTACTCTTACTTACTACCATGTACAACTCAGTATAGCTATTAGGGTTTTCACTGTGAGTTTGAACTCTGACAAGTGATCCTGATTTGAAAGGTCTTTGTTTGTATGATATGTTGATACATGTACTGTTTAAAGGTTATCAAGATCATCAAAGTCTGTTAAAAGGGAAGAGGCAGAGATTGAGGAGCGGCCACGCTCAGTCAGCCCAACCCGTGGAAAGAGAGGAACTAACGAGGGACTGGATCTCAAGTTTGCTTTTGGGTAATAATTCTCCTTTTAAAAGGATACCTACACTTTTATGTCATTATATACTCTGCCAATGAAGTGAAATCACAAGAAATACATGTAACTAGAGAATTAAAATGTAAACGAGGAGAATAAAGAACCTACTTCTCTTCAGATTTTACACACAAACTTTTTTAAAAATTATGTCAAAACATGTACAGTGTAAAGTATTAATAATTATGAATAATTTATTATTGATGCGCAGTAAGTTCTCAAAGCAAGGATGTGCAGTCATAGCTGGGAATCGGATTCCAACTCGGGAGTTCTCGCACAGACTGAAGTCCTGTACATGTAGGTTATATACTAATCAACCATGCCAATCCTCATTCCTGTGGTCTAGAACTAATATGAAGTAATCATTACAACACTTAGACACATCTGCTGTACATTATTCCTTCATACATGCCTATAATGTTCCTTTCTTTAGGTACCATGGTTACAATGCCTGTAACAATTTATTCTACACCCAATCTAATGAGATAGTGTTCCATGTGGCAGCACTTGGAATAGTCTACAGTCCACCCAGTCATCAACAGAGATTTTACAAAGGACACACTGATGATATTCTCTGCCTCACCATTCATGATGACCAGGACCTTGTGGCCACAGGACAGGTGTGTTGTAGAATTAAAAAAGTGGCTATAAAAGAAGTTCCGGACGTCATATTCTGTTGGTCACATTGTAGGAGTTTCTGTTTTGACCATAAAAAAATATAATGAGGAGTAACTGCTGTCTGCAAACTATGATATAAATTGTTACTGTATTATTTTGGTATTTGTGGCAATATGAAAGGTAAATTCATGGCTATTTGGGTATAACTAGGTAGCTAGATGGTGATAGACTACTGTGTAGCATGAAAATTTTGCGGGAGTTTTATTTTGCTGATTGGCGATTTTTTGTGGTTTGCGGGAACAAATTTTTTGCGGTTCGAGATGACTGAAATTTCTGGTGGGAACTAATTTTTGCAATTCTCTGTTCAAGTGGCAGAATATTTAAGTGGAAGAAACCTCAATATGGTATTTTCAACTTTTATTTTACGGTATGTTGAGTCAAAGTTCACTCTACTTACATATTTAATGGAGAATAATACGGTAATCACTGTAATATCTTACTGCACAAAGGGACTGAACAACAGCAAAACAAAACAAAAGCCTATCCCTACCATACACAACAAGTCCATGAAAAGCAGTTTTTTTAATTTGACTGAAGGGAGTTAATTTTTGCGGCGTTTTATTTTGCGGGTTTTTTTCGGATGGAGGTCAATCCACAAAATTCGCAAAAATTAGAACCCGCAAAATTTTTATGCCACATGGTAGTAGACGTAGCAGTTTTTCTGCAAAACTGTAATTGAATATAGACAATCTGCAACTATTAATACCCTTATGTACTTACCATAGATGAGATTGTTGAATGTGATCTTTTAAACCATAAAAAGAACCCAAAATGCTGACAAATATGGCCCATCAATTAAAGATTAAAAATAGCTTTGGGGTTTAGCAGAATTATTTGTGTATTATGCGCAATTTTGGTAGTAAAGCCACAACCCAAAAGCCTTTTTGTTGTGACCTGGTTATGTGCAACTAGCTGCAAGAGTACAATAAAGAAAGTTTTTTTTTCATAAGAGCCCTTATGTTTTTGACTACTAAATGTTTACCATACAGTATTACAGCTTCTTCAGTACCTTTGAAACTCAGCACTATATCTGAATTGTGTTACTTTGTAAATAGACAAATACTGTGTGATTTGTCTCCAGGTGGGCAAACAAGCAGAGACTCATGTGTGGGATGCTACTACAATGAGAACTGTTTCTGTTCTTAAGGGCTTTCACAAGCGAGGCGTAATATGTGTGGACTTCTCAGGTACTTACTGGTCTACCTCGTAGATGCACATGAGCCTTAAGACCCACACAGTTGGGGCTCATCCCTGTTTCCATAACACGGAGCACGTCTGGGTAGAAGTGATCCCCGCTAGATGGGATGCAGGTCTATCACAGGGTTACCCCGGGCAGTATCTGGTATTAGTGAGCTTTAATAAGCAAAGATGTTTTTGAGTGACTCACATTAACGGGAAGTGGAATTTGCATATTTCTTGGGCTGTAGTTTCACCAAAATTGTTGGTTAAATTGTCTTTACAGCAGTGAGGTCAGTTGTATAAGAGAAAAAACCCTTAGCAATTGCAAATTTTTTACAGTCAAACCTCCGTAATACGGACACCAAAGGGATAGAACCAAGCATCCGCTTTACAGAAGTGTCCGTATTATAGAGCTAGGGAATGTATGATTTTTGGCATGTCTGGGACCAAACAAACTGTCCGTAATAGAGACGTGTCCGTATTATAGAGGTGTCTGTAAGGAGAGGTTGGACAGTAGTGTCAATGCATATTAAAAGAAAGAGGCCTCATTTCCAACTGTCTTGTGGTACGTTGCTCAAAGGTGTCTTTTCTTAAATACCTATTTATGCATTTACATGCGTGTATTCAAAAGAGACAAAGTGGAAAAAGGTTTTCTATGGAATAACAATATGACAAGACTTTAATAAACCCGGTTCCTAGGGATCTGAAGTTTGATATGTTAACCTCCTGGCCATCAACCCTTTGCTGGGTTATTAATGATAGCCATAATTCAAGGGCTGGATCATTCACCAACAAACCCCCCCCCCCCCCCCAAAAAAAAAAAAGAACAGAGCATGTGATCTTCATTTACATTTTTGTTTTTGTTTTTGTAACATGTAGTGTTCACTTATTGAAAAACAATGCTTTGCCTGAATTTGCTCTTTTAGGGTGTGTTGATTGTTAATTTGAAAATGATGACATTGAGTCATCGAAACGTCATTCATTGCTATTGCTAATTTTTATTCTCAATTGATCGTATTGTGGAGTAACCAATTATATATGCAAAAATTTTGTTACAGCTCTCTTAATGTCATAAAATCTTTCCCTTACACATTAGGATGCTCAAATTTTCTGTTATGAACAAAAGAAAACTTGAGGCCTGTAGTCAAAGAAAAAAAATTAATGATGGCTCGAAAATTTTAAAATTTACAAGGATTTGCAAGCAAACCACTTGACTGTGACTGGTTGGCAAGAATATTGTTTTTTCCATGCAAATCCTTCTACAGTTTTGGTGGCTGAAAATTTACATGTCGTCTTTTTTTTATATGCTTTTTCAGTTACTGCTAAAACCATTTTTCCAAAATGAACTGTTTTTGAGTTAACAGAAAAATGATCATGTGACCAACTAATTATATTTACTCAAGTTCACTTTTCTTTCAACTTTGAATTGCCATAGGTGATGGAAAGAAATTGGCAGATGTTGGTCTTGACGATGACCACAGTATCTGTATTTGGGACTGGAAGAAGGAGGAAAAAATGGTTTCAACTCGTGGTCATAAAGACATGATCTTTGTTATTGAGTGGAATCCATTCGATCCAAATTACCTTGTGTCTGTTGGAGAGAAACACATCAAATTCTGGACACAAAAGGGTAATGTCAATTTTAACCAGTCAGTCACTATATTTCTTGAGATAAGTCCTTCACCCTTTTAACGCATTGCACAGCGCACATAAGTACACAGACTAATTGGTTTCATGTAAGGGGCTTGAGTATTTTACTGAGATTGCTCGGTACATTCTCTTTGCGTTATCCTTTTTTTCTCTACAAAATACTGTTGAAAAAGTTCTTTCGAATTTCCTAACGTTAGCTGGATCCAAACATCAAATATAATTTGATGGAACTTAATGAAATTGCCTGTAAGAACCAGCTTGCTCCTTGAGTTGTGAATTGGATCCATTGTAACTTCCCGTCTTCCTGATATATATATTATGCATTTTCGACACATGAATGTAGACAATGATCAGTCTCTGCGTAAGGCTGCCGGCCTCATTTCTCGCGTCTCGTGGCCTCGCCGGTCGCACACGCGTACACTCCCCTCACTAAATCTAGAGAAAAAGTGAAACTGCTGGTGGTCTACATTAACATGTTATTTTCTTTATTAAAAAAATCAAGTATCTTTTGTTTATTTCAGATAAAAAGGTTGAGAAGCGTCCAGTGACATTTGGTAAAGCAGGTACTGCTGCTACTATGCTGTGTATTTGTCATAGTCCCACAGATGATCTTTGCTTCTCTGGCAGTGATACTGGATTGGTGTATGTTTGGCAAGGAACAACTCTTCGCCGTTCTGTTCAGGCTCACAATGGACCCGTTTGTTCTATGTACTCACTAAGCCAGACTAACCAACAGGTGGGCGATGAAATGATTATTGGAAAATCGTTTTCACGTGAAATCGTGACATAAAGAGAAATTATGAATTTCATTACAGTAATTTAAAAATGATATGGGCAATAGGGGGTGGGAGTGGGGAAGGGGGGATAAAGTCCCGCCTTGAGACATTGCACGTGATATAGTGGTCCCGTCTCCAATACGTTGCGTGAAACTGACTAGTTTCCCCTATTAGTACTTTAGTGCTAAATATATTGACGCTCCAAAATGTGCGTTTTTTTAACCTTTCCACTAAACAAGTTGATTATTTCAGGGTTATGTGACTGGTGGCAGAGATGGAGTGGTGGCTATGTGGGACCTATTCTTTGAACAGTGTCTAAAGGCTTTCAAGGTAGAGGAAGCATCCATGAATCCTGGATCAGTTCTTTTACAAAACCTGCCACCTGTTAGAGCAATACATACTGATGAAGGCAAAATACTCATTGGTACCGGAAACGATGAGGTACGATATAGTTGTTGTAAATCAGGACACGTTTCTCGCGCGTGAAATTAACTGGCTTGGTAAAATCTTTGCGGGAAAAATGGGCTGAGGTAACTCGTAAAGGATAATGAAAATGGAAGTCGAAGTTTGTGTTAACGCCATGTGTTTATAGAAGTATATAACCTGCGATCAGGCGGTCCTTCTTCCCCGAAAAAAACAAAAAACCGCAAAAAACACGTCTGATCGCAGGTTAAGAAGTATATTATTAGGCCATGTTCAAATTCTAAAAACCTTCACTTTCAAAATGAGGTCAATAGACCACTCTAGCTTGTGCGTTTTGTTTCCTAATGACGTAGGTCTCAAGGAAATTTGCCCTTTGTCTTTTCATGACCTGGGGCCGGTTGCTCGAAGCCTGGTTAGCGCTAACCGTTGGTTAAGAGGTATCAAAATGTATACGTTTCCATGGTATTAAACGCTGGTTAGCACTAACCATGCTTCGAGCAACCCGGGCCAGAAGACGAAACTTGACGAATATGACGAAACTTGATAAAGTTCTTTAGAGTAGTAACATTATGGGAAAACAAAACATTCGAGGTAAAGAGGCCTATTGTGAAACCTTTCTTGTAAAAATGAGTTTTATTAAGTTGCACGAAGTTAAAGAATCTGTTTTTTATCAAAGGCTTCGCGCTTGACCTCGCTTTGAAACAGAGGCTCGGGGCAACTCGAACATGTTGTCGTAGTATTTAATAGAGACCTTCAGATCCGAGGACAAGGAGGACTACGAGAACGAGATTGGACTTAAAGTTTTTTAGCGCGTACCGTAAAATTCCGAAAATAAGCCCCTCCAAATATAAGCCCCCCAAACCGGTAACGCAAAAAACCCTCCGTTAAATCGCCCCTCCAAAAATACCCCCGGGGCTTGTACTTGGAAAATTTCCCTCAAATACAAAGTGAAACAAAGCAAAACTTCCAACTATAAGGCTAGCCCAATCGATTTTGAAACGCAAATTTCCCTCCGAATATAAGCCCCTCCAAAAATAAGCCCCTCAAAAAGGGCCTTTGAAAAATATAAGCCCCGGGGCTTATTTTCGGAATTTTACGGTATTCTTAAGAAAATAAACACCCTAGAAAAGCTTCATTGTACTTTTTTTTCACTAGAAACGTTAACACCGTGGGTTGTTTTTGTTGAAGGAGGTTAAGCCCTCTGTCGATCGCAAAATGATAAAACTTCAAACATTTGAAAAAATTGTTTCCGCTAGAACCCGCGTTTCCCGCCAAAATGTTGCCGATTCACGCGCACGCACTACTTAGTATTTAGAAGATCTCTTTCTCGTAGTTATCATCGTCTTAGAATCTAAAGGTTTCTATTATGATTGCGTAACTTCACAACGATGCTTTTGTTTTTCTCTCTCTTTTTGAAGATTATTGAAATCGAGGAAGATGGGAAGATGACAATATTAGTGCAGGTACGTTGTTGCTTCCAGAGGCGTTTTTTCTAGCGGAAAGTAACAATTCTTTTGGTAGAGTGGATTATTTTACAATTAAACTTTCTTAAAGGAATATCACTCATGCCTTTATTCTTTCAGGGTCATGGTGAAGGCGAGATCTGGGGCCTAGACACTCATCCCATTGAGGATGAATGTATGACAGTTAGTGATGACAAGACGCTGAGAGTCTGGGACCTATCCAAACTGAGACTAAAGAAGGTAAGAACAATACCATAGCCACCACCCCCACCCCCAAGGGATGCTGCCACAGGGAACTCGTATCACGAATTTATTTCGTCATAAACAAGTGGCTTTCCTTTATACTAACTGCTCTAGTAAGGAGGTTGCCGAAACGTCAGTCACTGTCAACAATCGTAGTCAACCGTTACCGACACCGTACAAACGACTTAATGACGGAATCAAGCAAAACTAACTACAAGAGAACGACTGGACAACTGACAATGTTGCCGTCAGTTACTTTCAACAACAACAGTCCTATTCAGGGCTACGTTCACCCGGACGATCATACTCAACCTATTTATGAAATGACTCCTGGGTTGAAACCTTTCACAGTAAGAAGTAAGTAAGTAAGAAGATTAAAACGGATTGAAATTGTGGGTTTTTGAAAACTTGCTTAACAGTTTTTCAAAGTTCATTTTTGTTGCTTGCAACGTTTGATGAGAGAGAATAAAGCCCTCTCTTGGTTTGATATTGTGCTTGGGATTGGAAGTGATATTAGTTGAACAAGAAGCGGTGATTTCGTCGTTTACAAGTAAATTCTTTGTTAAAGTTTAGCTCCACAGCGCGTAAGTAAGCGTAATGGGAATATTTACAAAATGAACCAGACAGCCGTGACAAAACCCTCTTAAAAGTAGGCTTAAATATGAAAGGTTGCGTTCGATTTTTTGCTGGTCATTTGCGACCAAAGTAAGGCTAATGTAAAAATTGTAATTGCATTATAACCAAATTCTAACCGTTCATCACTTCATGTTTCCACTCCCGCAAGTACATCTTCTTTTTGGCCTATTCTTTTTTTACAACCACGTGACAAGGCGGCCATGTTGGGGGTCAATACGGTTGACCACTCCAGAAAATACCATAACATACCATAATGCTCTTTGTTTGTCAGCCCAAAATTTTGCGTATGCATTGTTTTCAGTTTCTCTTGGGGCCATTTTAACTCCCAAGAGAAACTGACGACAATGCTCACGCAAAATTTTGGGGTGACAAACAAAGAGCATTGTGGTATGTTATGATGTTTTCTGGAGTGGTCAATAAAATTTCTTCTCGAAGAATTTACGTGAAAATGGAGTTTAGTTCCCAGAGGAGACAAATGCTTTTGTTCTTGGCCACCAACACGGCCGCCGTGACGCACGTGCAAACCAGCAATTACGGGGTTAACTGTATGATATTTATCCTTTTTTAGGTTAAGAAACTCAGGAAAGGTGGACGTGCCGTGGTGTATTCCCCAGACGGCTCAACAGTTGCTGTAGGTCAAAATGATGGCGGTTTCGTGATCTTAGACGCTGTTACACTGGAAAAAATCGTGGGATTTAAGGACAGAAAAGAAGAGATTTCAGATGTTAAATTCTCCCCAGGTAAACACGTTTTTCTGTTGACGTAGGCACGCGCACATGTTTTATTAGTTCAAAAGTTTGATTCACTTCCGAGTTCCAAAAACCCTCACTTTCAAAGTGACGCTAGGTGCACAACCTTTCTTGTGAAAATGAGTTTTATTTGCGTGAGAGTGAAAAATGATTTCCATATCAAAGGCTGAGCACCTACCCTCGTTTTGAAACAGAAACCCGGGGAAACTCGGAAATGGCCTATTTGGGCATCTCCACAGTTAGGCTAATGTTAATCTGGGTGGGCTCTGAAGAGATATCAGGATCTTAATAGTATCATTACGAGAAAGGGTTAAATATCTTGTTTAATGTACTACTGTTGATTATATAGACAAGAGTGTTTTAGTTGGGAAAATAGACCACTTGTAACGTTCATACGAAACTACATCCGGGACTTGAGTGGCGTATTTTCCATATCCTCACTAGTGACGTCATTTCTCACTCAAACTGTTGTTTCTGCACAGTTTGCCAAATGCGTGCGATAGATTCTGTGAAGTATCTGAAGCTGACATAAATCTTTCTCTGAGAAGGAGAATGTTAATACAAGTGAAGACGAAAGGAAAGAACTTCAAGAAATTCCTGCCGCCGAACTACAGCAGTTCGCGATAAAGTTTGTGCTGGGGGTGAGAAAAAAAATGGTAAATACTCTTGTCTATATAATAAAAAGAAAATTACTCGATGGCTTGAAAAACAATATTTTACTCACTCGCTGCGCTTGTTCGTAAAATATTGTTTTCACCACTCGAAAAAAAAATTCATATCTTCGCGCCCCCGTGTAATGTCCACTATGTGCTAGAAATTATTTAACTGATAAAATGAAAAGTAACGAACAAGTAGTCAGGCAAGTAATACATGTAAAATCCACGTATCTGGCCGCAAAATAGAATTTTATGCGGAGCTTTCGCAGATGTGTTTTCCAGCGTTGATAGTAAGGGACTTTAAACGGACTGTTTAGCGTAGTATATATGTGGCTGATAAAATGGGTCGTAGATACGCTAACGTCAGACGTCAAGGTTAGCAGTATTGTCTACTTCAAGGTCTGTTAATCGCAGTATCGCGTTTAACAGACTTCGAATTAGAATCAGGTTTACCGACGTACTCCTACAATATGCTGAGTGGTGTATCATCGTCTTTTTCATCTGCAGACCTGATTAACATTTATTTGTAAGTAATTCTTGTGTCTTGGTAAACAGTCACGTCGACGATACTATTGTACAAAAACCTGCATGAACTTCTACATTTGCACTCAGGATTCCATCTTGTTGCCACTTACACTGGAATGAGTTTCAGAAAACAGAACGCTCGAGGATTCTGGTTGTTGTAATTACTGGTAAATAAGGCCATCATGAAACCAGCTAATTATACATTCGCGGAAAGGATCTAATCACTCCAGCTTGGGCTTTGTAGAAGCAAGAAGGAGTACTTCTAAAATCTTTGTATGTTTTTGCATTATACGGAATGGGCTAAAAATGAGAGGATAAATTCACATATGATATCATTCTCAATACTAGCATATGTTTTACCTTTTCCTACAGACGGAAAGTTCTTGGCTGTGGGTTCTCATGATAATTTCGTAGACATCTACAGTGTGAGGCGGGGTAAGAGAACTGGAATCTGTAAAGGAAGTTCAAGTTACATCACACACTTGGACTGGGACACCAAGGGTACGTATTCTCAAAACTCAGCTGACCCTCACGTGAATCCATGGTTAACGTCATTTGAATCAATCAAGGCGTAGAGCACGATCGAGTACATGAAGTCCCTCCATTTCGTCATAGATAGTCCTGCGAGTGGTGAACGCGGGCGCGCGTGAAAAATGTACCGGCTACCTCGAGGAGAGACAGTACTTAGAGGAAAGAGAGAATACCCCACATTTGATATATGACTCCGAGGTTTTCTGGTCGTATTTCTATATTTAGTTTGGCTCTCTTTGTGCTCAAGTCTCATATGGGCATTGCGAGACAGTGGAGTCGTGAAAGATTTGCAATTTTGTCGCTAAAGGTGATGTTGCACGAGACGATTTGTCACGACGATTTTTAGCACAACACAGCGTTGCAACATTGTTGCGACGATGTTTTAAATGCTTGCAACGTTGTTCCAACATTGCAACGCTGTGTTGCGCTTAAAATCGTCGTTGCGAATGGTCCCTCGTAACATCATACTTTTGCCTCGGAGTCATGTTAGAATTTTAATACATCGAGCGTTAGCCTGCGATCATGCCCTCTCCCTTTATCTCTGTAATTTGTTTTCTCGAGCCAAAAAAGCAAAGAAGCAAAAAAAAAAAAAAAAATAGATAAATAAACGCCTGATCCCAGGTTAATCGAACGTAGGCTATTTTCTTCCCTCGCGTGTCGGATATCCTTGCGAGTGACGATTGTCACGCGCGCTTGTATTTCCCTAAATCTAGTATACCAGACCTTGTATTTTTTTCTTGTTGCAAAGGGTATGTCCGACCAGGTCTCCGTTTTTCTGTGCAATGTCAGCAAAGTTAACTTTTAATTGCTTTTATTACTGTGCACGTCTTCAGCTAAAGAATGTTGGTCTGCTTTTGCGAAATCAGTATCACAGTAGTAACTGTAACTTGCTCCCCTTGTGTTTTCAATTGTCAATGGACAGGTAAATTGATCCAAACCAACTCTGGCGCCCGTGAGCATTTGTTTTACGAGGCGCCCACAGGCAGTCGTAAAACCATCAGTGTCCCGGATGTTGAGAGGCTACAGTGGTCCACATTCACTTGTGTTCTGGGTCCAACTGTTAAAGGTGTGTTCCCGCCAGGAAGTGACGTCACGGACGTTAACGCCACCTGTCGTACTAAGGACTGCAGCTTGCTGGCGAGCGGCGATGACTTTGGTTTTGTGAAGCTCTTTGAGTACCCTGTATCGGTGAGTTTGAAATAATATGTCGAATTACATATTATTGACTTCAGTCCCTTCTTGGTTATCGTGTTATTGTGATCACTTTGAAGCACCTTTCGAGAAAACAGTAATATGTAACAACTGCCCTTTTTTGTCTCCTAAACAGCGAGGTGCACGTGGACGTCAGTATGGAGGTCACTCTTCCCACGTGACCAACGTACGGTGGACCAGTGATGACCGCGTGTTAGTATCCACTGGTGGCCTGGACACGGCCGTGTTAATCTGGGACCGACTGATTGTGTCGGACGTTGATGCGCCAGGTATGAATCTTGAGTTTCTTTGTTGTCAGCGGTTAACAACAACAGTACGGACTTTAAGGCCATGTTTACACTAAACTGACTAGCTTTTGCGCCGGCGCAAAAACCATACCGGGTAGGGCTTCTAAGAAATTACACAGACTTCAAAATCGGGCGGCCCGCGTCCTTACTCAATCCAGTTGTGATGCAGACGCCAGCCAACTAATCAAAAAGTTAGGCTGGGACAATTTAGAAACTCGACGTCAAAAACTAAAGGCCGCGATGGTCTGTAAGTCAGGGTGGCTCGATACAATAATTCTGTAGCGACACCATCCATCTTTGAATCTCTTATATTTAAACAAATTGATCTTTATGGTAAAACCATACACATAGACTAAATTTTATTATTATATTATTTTTTTGGGCGATCGGAATAAATATCACGTAGCATTGACGTCACAATACTTTTAGCTTTAAATTGAATTTCACCCCTTATCGACCTGAACTTTAGAAATGCTTTACGCTGCGCATACATTTGGTGCTTGCCTTCCGTTATGCGAAGTTTCACAGAAATCTATAAGAGGAAGTTTGAGACATCTTGGAATTTCTAAAAAAAAGGGTATAAATTATGCATGACCTGAAGACTGAACTTTTAATATGCAGACAAATTTGCTACTTTTTGGATGTTTCCGGAAAGGTTTTACCGCTCATTCGTTTTGCAAATGACCCTTACACACTCTACAATCGGCTAAACGCAAGCAGACGTGCGCGATTTCGAAAAGTACGAGAACATGTGAATCGGGGTAAAACGCAATCCTGAGCTCTTTTTGTAAGGCTACTTTCACGAAAACAGCGGTTAAACCAAAATTCGACGATAGATTTCTTTAAAAAATTTCAGTGCTGCAATTAATCAGTGTACTATAAAGTGCCCGATTTTCGTGTCCATTGAAACATTTTACGGTTGCCTAACGAAGGCCCAAAATTGAGTAACTATTGGAGCGATGTAATAGATTTGGATGATTTTTTGCTTTGGGATTTTCTATTGTCTCTAGTTTAGCTCAACATCCCATGCAGCACGCGAGAATTTACCGC